TGTTGGACCCATCGACCGAAAATACTGCATAAAATGTTCAAACACGGTGTTGCAATGTTGGTGCTCATCGCCATCCTCCAATGTACGCCATCCGTCCAGACAGTGTCTGCGATAAAGTCTATTAAAAACAAGGTGGGGATCAAAGCCTATGGCTATCAGTGCTGCCCTATTAAAGGTGGGTGCTGTAATAAACAACACCGTTACTCACCATGCATTCCAGGAGGGTAGGCGTTCATTAATAGCGCTGATGCAATGAAAGCGTGGACTCCATCTTTGGCATGGATATAACTGGTTGCTTGTTTAATGAACTCGATCAAGCATTCTGTCCTAATGCTGTTGAGCTGGTGGTTTTCTCGGGCAACTTGAAGGCAATCCAGGATGCTAGCTTCCGAGGTACCAAGTTCTAGACGCAGTGTACGCGTCCAAAGGGTACTTAGGTGTATAGCCGAGAAAGATAGGCCTTGTCGGCTTTGTTCCACCCGGATGTCTTGGATTTCATTGAGAATGAGACGCCGTAATGGCTCAAAAGCTGCTGTTGGGGATAATTCGTACCGATCGCGTAGGTCTAGGACGGTGACATCCTTATTAAGTCTCTCTGTGGCATGTAGCTCATGGGAAGCTTTACATAGATCCTCAATTCCATGATTTTGAGCTCCTGTTAGAACTACCACGATACTCATCAAATCCGGAATGGACTGAGAGCCGATCGTGACAGTTTGGCGGGGTCTCTTAAGCAGCTGACAGGCGTCGCGAATGTCAGACTGGGTATCTACAAACAGACAAAAGACATTGGTCCACGGCAAAAGCATCTGGGAGATGACTTGTTGCTGCATCTCCGTTGCTCGCCGAGACCCGTCTTGGAGAATGCGATAACGTTGAACATTGTCCGATGACCAGCGGCGCAGACCTGATTCACCCAGCCCGGACACATTGGAAAGGCTGCTTTCTGCCAACAGGATAGGATTCTGGGTGCTCGCAGTTCTTGTGCTAAGATGCAGTCGGACCAGACCAGCTGGACCTCTGCGAGTAATATTGTTGTGAGGGAAGAGTGCGCGAAGCGCTTTGATCCGGCTCCCATTCCCTGCGAAGTACACTACCGAAGGAAATTGAGTATGTGGATGGCTCATTCCCTGAACTAGTTGTTCCATTCGTCCCGTGTCTACCAAGGTCCAGCCTGTGGGGTCCGAGACGAGATCTAGCCATGCTGCCATTGAAATCGAAAGAAAGATAGTGAAGTATCAGAAATTTCAAGAACAAGAAGCCTTAAGTATCAGACATATTGGTGAGCGTGCGTACAGATTATTTCTCTAAAAATCAAAAAGTACTGGCGCTGCTATTTCTGCGGTGCGTTTTGAAGATGATGTTTATTATTTTTAGAGCCTGTGATTCAAAATCTCTTGTATATCGTAAAATGGATTGGTACCATCTGAATATACGACTCACAATTTTTCAATGTGGAGAAAATTTGATCTTTATGCTGAGGTTTGGGAAAGAGTTTGCCGCTCTGAGAATGTAACACGAAGTAGCACCAAAAAGAAGGCCACATTGTGCTTACCAGCGATTGGAATTTTAAGGTGCCTGCTGCGCCGTTCCACAGTTGAACAAGGCTTAAGCTTGGTGCCATTTGTTTTTTCAAGCGCCAATTGCCGAGGACAGAAAATGGATTTGTTGCTTTTGGCGGGGCCATAAATCATTTATCTCTTATAGGTTGAAGGTCAGTCATTATTATAGTGAAGGGACGGCAAAATTGATGGGCCCTGAATGATTTCGCTCAGCTAGGACAAACTTAATTAGTGTGGGAAATATACAGGACATGATTCCTCGAACTTTGCAAGTACAAAATAAAAGTATTTGTTATCTGGGACGTCTTATTTTTTAAGCGGGTCCAAGCCTTATGACAATGTCTAGAGAATTCGGACGTGGATATTCACAAAATCGAGGGAGGAAGCTTCTTTCCTTACGACCTTGTTGGTTCAATACACGAAGCTTTCTAGATATTTATATAGGGAATCGGATCATTTCCTCTGCTCAGGTTCGGGATATTTTGCCATTTTGACGATCTTTTTTGTTGATATGATGGCTCCGCTACTTGAAATTCTCCGAAGTTGTCTTCGACGACAGAGCCACACCCACACGCTCGAGGACCATCAAGTGGTCCAAGAGGAGCCTCGTGAAATCTCAGGAAAAGAAACATCATACACAAGGATGCTCAAGGAAGAGGCGCAGATGAACTGGATCTATAACCTCCTCGCCAGCGGAGGAAACTGGGTGCTGCTCGCTGGGTATTTGGTCATTCCAGGCACATTCACCTCGTTGAAGGACTCAAGTAGTGTGGAAGAGACACTAGAGAAGAACGACGCAGGACGGGTGATTCTTAGCACTATACAAAATCCTCCACTCCTTGTATTTGCCTGCATATTCCTAGTTGCCGGTGCAACTGTGCTAGCGTGGCTATTCACAAGGTATAAAGCCAACTACTCTTGGTTGATCAATAAAATTTTCATGTAAGATAGCCTCCTGAAACAAACAACGGAGGCTGATTGATCGAATTGCAGGCCAGCATCCTTGAATGCAGCGGCTGGTTTGCTCACCACGATTGTCAACGTTTGCGCTTCACAGGGTGGAGACTGGTCTGTCATGGCTCTGGTAACAACCATTGTCACAGGAGTAACCCTGGTTATATGCCTGGGACTTTCCATCTTTTACAAGATTTACAAATTGCGAAAAGTGATCCAAAGTGACGCATGCCGATTCAGCTATTTTGAGATAACCAGGGTACGTGAGGACCCCATTAACCGTGTGCTTGACGAGGTTAAAGAGTGGGATCGGGTTATTCGGTTCTATGTTGGAAACGACGAATTTAGCAGCGCACAGAATCTGGCGCCGCTTTTAGACTTGGTGATACAATACTGCTGGCTATCTGATCAAAGAACACGCTCTGTGTGGGTGGAGATATTAGCTGACAATCAAGGGTAGGTCTTGAATTGGTCACAATCGCTCTCGAGTACCTCTGGCGCTAACAATACATTAGAGTCTTATCTTCCTTGCAGGATGGTGACTTTATTAAAAATAGCAAAGTAAAAGTTACGCGTGAGCATAATATTATTATGGAGTTCGCGCGAGACTCAAAGGTAGTACCTACTATCGGGAGGTCTCCTTGAGCTGGTAAGGGGGACAAAAGCCAACGTTGTCCACACGGAAATAATCAAAAGAAGAACTTTGATTGGTTCACCTGGGATATGTCAGAGTCTACACATAGTACTTGAGTTTGGTTCTCCCCTTGCATGCACAATGCAGATTTTAATGCGTTCATATTCATCTATAACGAGAGGATAGGGTACAGTATTAAAAAATTGATATTTGGCCATCCTAAGCTCAGGGAAGTTGCAACCCCAATGATGCTCGGACAATATAGGAGACAAACTTGAGCTTCCTTCTACATATTGTAACGGTTCTGGTGCCCAAAAAGTCAAATCGTCGAGGCAATACCAGGTAGAATCAGGGCCATACTTTTGCACGTTGTATTCTTACAAGGGGTGTTCTCTATCCGCTTCCCCCACTGTACACTATAGGAAGTCTGTACCATACTTATCGTTTTATAAAAGTGGAGGGCAGCATGTGTCATTGACACGGTCAAAAGGTCATGTGATTTGCTAGATTATACCAGTGCTCCAACACTTATCTACACGACCTAAAAGGAACCAGGCGTATGTCCTTTTCAGAATTACGTATAATGCGACACTTGGCCTCTACACATATACAGTACGCAAGTTGTCCCATTCCCCAACCCCAAGGCAAGCAAGGAAAACTACACTGTATCTTAAACCGTGCATTCACTTGTAAACCCAATACATCTGACATCTCCCTACACCGCCTTTAAAACCGCCTCCCAAGGGATGGCGTACCTCAACAATCTAGCACGAGTGGTTGAACCGAGATGGCGCCAAACCTAGCCCCTTCTAAACACGAGCTTATCTATGACATGATCCACAGTGGGGAGCTATCTATTTCACAGATGACACAGGCTGCTGGCTGCAATAGGAGTACCATCCTGAGAATCTCTTCCAATATACGGATGTTCGGCAGTCGACCTCGTAGCATCACCCCAGTCATGCTCGAGGCTTTGTGTGATCATTTACTCGAAAATCCCACCCTGTACCTCGACGAGATGGCGATTTTTCTATGGGACGAAATCGAGTAGAAGACCGTAATGGTCCGCGAAAAAGGACAGCCACGGGTCATCACCGCTTTCAATGGTTTCCCGAGTGTATTCAGTAGCGAGATCGGGCGGTATGCTCTCGGTAGCGAGTAGTCTGGTTTCCCAGGCTTCCGCAGAACTACAATTCACGCGCTTCTCCATCGCAGTTGGTGGTATCCTAGTTCAATCGACGACGTGAAAATCTGAGTGATGATCGTTCCGAGATATTTCCAGAGACGTTTGCAGATCAGCGTGGGCAGACTGTCCTCGCCTGGTGCTGTTGTGCCTTTGGCAGCCTTGAGCGGTCGATAGATTTCTGTCTCGGAGATTGGATGCCATCGGACCTCGGTAGGGGTATAAGCGGTTGCTTCCTCTTGCGCAGGCGCCATAGATGGGAAAAAGGAGCTCATGAGCGCTTGAGCTTTCTCCGCGTTGTCAGCTAGCTCCTTGTCACCAACTAATGGCTTTTTTGTATTAACTTTAAACTTCTTTCGCTACAGTACACAAAGGCATCGGACAGACATTTTAATCACATGGTGGGCCCTCTGTTTTGAAGACACTCATAGCAAAATGTTAAGTTTTCATTATCCATTCAAGAGGAACTATCTTTATACTCCGGAACTTTCACTGGTCTGCGGGAGACAATTTGACAATCCTGCCGTTTCTTGTACGCTTGGAGATACTTTGCTATGGTGAATAATGGACTTGACCGAAGGTATAAGCCAGCAGTGACCAAATCTAGCGGAAGGCCTCCAAGTTGTCTCGCCAGAACCTCTGCGTCAGAGTCTTATGAAGAAAAATGTTAGAAAGCGATGACCGTAACAATCAATGACATACCGAATTGAGATTTGTTCCTTCCCGATCGGGTTTGGAGGATCTTAAGCCTGTCTTCCACATTTTCCAAGGGGCTGACCTGGACTTTTTGTCCAGCAATGAGACCTGGTCTTCGCGTGGTGACAATAACGGTTCCATGAGAAGCTGAGGGGTAGAACGTCTCAATGTCGAAATGCTCTAAACTGTCGTATCCATCAAACACAAGAAGCCATCTTGTGTTTGTCGCGTCAGATAGCCACTCATGTACACGTACCATGATGTCCCTCTCGTGAAGATCTCGAATGTCTTGATACTGAAATATGAGAGTGGCCAAAGTTCGAAAGCTTTTGTTCATCGTACTCTCTGATGATGCATCGAGCCAAAAGCACGATTCATAATAATTGGAGAAGCGATGACCGTAGGCAATGGCAAGTTGCGTCTTGCCCACTCCACGAATGCCACCAAAGACCAGACGATGTAGTTTCTGAGACATACGGCTCGATTCCAAGCGCCTGATCTCATCAAGCTGTGATTCGCGCCCAACGAAGTGCCCTGATGCTAGATAGGGCGCCCGACCAAAACACAGCCCACGGCGAATCTGAAAGCTGAAAGCCATGAGAGATCTCATCTCATGAATGATCTCGTCAAGCTCGGACTTTCGCTTCAAATGATCATCACTAACTGGGTTGTGCATGATAAAAGACCGGATATCTTCAGCAATCGATTTCAGGAGCGACTCGACCGTTGTTATGTCACCGAATGTCCTGATGGCCTCGGCATATCGCTTTTCCCATGTGTCGTCTCCATCAAAGACGAATTCGAGAATTCTTTTCATCCTCGCAGCGTGCCCGCTACAATTATCAACAATTAGGCTCAAGCAGCAGAATGAATCTGCAGAGTCGGAGTGCTCCAATAGTGTCTGAATAATATCAACAACGATAGGAAGTTGGCATCGCACGGTTCGCAGGGTCTTAGGCAACATGCTAGTGGCGGAAGCATCATCCAAGGACCTAATAGACTCCTGAAGGATGGTGATAGTAGCGGAAATACCGCTGATCACGTCCGAGCACGTCATATCTTCGTGGAGGAGAGGACGAAGTGTCGCTAGATTATCGAGCGAAATGGAGTAGGTGGCAAAGGCTCAAAAGACACAGTGTAAGATGATAAATTCTTTTCCTTGAGTGATGAAGAAGAAACAGCCCTTTATTTAAGCGTTGGCAGTGGCTCCCGATTCAATCACCCTTCAATCAACCAAAAGGTCAAGCGGTTCTCCGCCGTAAGGCGCTGAGGGGGATTGGAATGCACGTGACCAAAGCCAGTGCCTAGCTCCTAGGAGTAATTGACTCTCTCGATGTTAAGAGGTCCCCTCTAAATTAATTTCACGGGGTGTCTTTGGCTAGCCAAATTAGGTCTGGCGTCACTGAGAAATGAGCCTGAAAATCAATGAAAGAGAACAAAGTGATTAAACTTATCAAGATCAGTTTGTACGCATTCCAGGAGCACAGTGGCCGCTTCTTAGTGCCAAATAGCGCCCAGGAAACCCAATGCAGCTTCTGAGGTCTTTTATCCTCATATTGGGGAATCAAAATCCTGTTCTTGTTCACAGTTTCATTAATGTATGGAGGCTTAAGTGCGGTTTCTGAGACCATATCTTGGCCTTCTGGGAATCATCGAATGAAGTAGATTTGTGCGCAGGTGAGGTGAAGTTGTCCTTTGAAATTCATACTCGGTCCTCAGGTGAAATCAGATGCAGAAGAATTTTACAGTAGTAGTACAGTAGTAAAAGATTTCATTTACCCCGACCTCTCTCTCGCAAAGCGATACACAGGATACAGCAGCTATATATATCCTTGTATGTACATGTGTAACGTCCCTCTTCCTGAAAACAAACTTGGACCTCGTCAAGGCCTCTCATGGCCTATTAGCCGTTCAGGTTATTAGGCTGCCCTCATGGCGCGCGGCTTTTGAATCGTTGTGACGCCTCAGCGAAGTCTAGGATGGCCTTGACCGTCCTAGCCCACGACACGGTGTCTGGCTTACCTTTCTCACCTTCAGTTGAACCTCCCAGCAGACTCGATACGCTGTTGCATGCGTCCCCCACTTCACTTCTTAGCTTCCGTCGAACTTCCCTCAGATTTGGGCACTCCAGCACGTGGGTGACCGTTTCTTGCGCGCCGCACATTTTTCAGTGTGCATTGCGATCAAACTCTGTTGCTCCGAATGTAAACTTTTCCTCACTAGCAAAGCAAAAAGCAGATAATAATCCCTCACTGTATTGTTTGAGGGTGGTTAGATTCATTGAATTGCAGCGCTGCAGCGCCTTTTGCCCAGCATTACGGACGATCTAAGTGAACGTTTCTCCAGACTTGACGAAGTTGATGGCGGGCCTTAAAATTAGGCTTACCTCTACAAAGTACCTTGTTGTTCGAACATGGAACGAGACGTATAATAAGAGAAAAATCCCACAGAGACAATTACTTGTTAGATCTATTGTTCGGGAACTATAAGATATATTCGCGAAACAATGGCCCTCTCCGCTGCTAGCACTGATGCAGTAAGCCATACTTTCTCCCATAAAAGCCTTCCTCTCCCAAGTTTGAACCACGCATGTAAACTTCACGGGACACCAACCACTAGACCCTTTCAGTCTTTTGGCTATTCGGGCGCCTCAAAAGCCACATCTGTGATCCGAGTATCATCTCCAGTAATAGCTAAAGTCCCAACTAGAGCGGTAGCTTTGAGAACTAGCTCTGTGGACCTTACTAGCAACGCATTTCCTACCGCCTTGAGCTATCTACGAACGTCCCAAAGAACCATTTCCTCCCATGTTCCGCAACACAATATACAAAGCGCCACTATATCACAGCAGAATATTGCAAGCCTACCCAGTACATTGGTTTCTACGACAAACTCATCTTTATCGGGGAGCACTTCTGAATTCAACGGAGCCGGATCCGAGCGCGGAAATCTCCCTACTGTGACTGCCATCATCGTCCTTGTTTCTTTCATTTGGCTCCTGTGGCAGTGATTTAATTTCTGGCAATTGTTACTACGCCAGACTCACCTTTCACGTGATGCGGTGAAGCTAAAAGGCTCAGAAGTGCATTTCAACCTAGGACAATAGACCCATCAATTTGCCGACCTCGCACGACTGGGAGAAGGCTACAATACCAATATTGATTCACCTATGGGCACAGACTGCATATTAATCATAAAGAGCTACACGATAAGACGCGCATCCACATTTTGAGCTTCGAATTGGTTTTATTTCGGCTTTTGATACATTAATTCTAGGATAAAAACAATACACGAAGGTATCGAGGTCTGTAAATGCATTGTTCGTTCGTATTGGAGAGACTCGTTGAAAAGTGAACACCTTCCCAGACCCCATCTTTGTTAGGATTTACCAGTAATTCCACTTTGGAACAAGACTTGAGCGGGCGAATCCGGAAACACATGGAGCCTCTATGTACACTATCTCCTTATTTGTATGCACATTTTGCAGGACTGGCGGTGTTAACGGAGTAACTCCTCAGAAGCGCTCTTCTGCCAGGAGGGAGAGGGGAACTCCATCATGGCTTTGGTGCATGATCCATATCATGTAACCCTGTTTCAGTATTTGATATTTATTTATAAGACACGCTGCTAGTTAGTTAACCTAAATGTTTATTCACAAATGGAGGTGACTTCCATGGTGCGATGTTTATTTGCGTTCCGATGATATTCGACACCCTATTAGACTGGAACCGACCTCCTTGGGTATTATGGGTAAGAGGGAAAAAAAAAAAAAAAAAAAAAAAAAAAAAAAAAAACAAGATTGCTGTTGATACGACTTCAGTAAACACTTTGCCGCAGGGTGGTTATAGATAGGACAATACATTAAACAACACTTCGTTTAATGCCACTGTCTTCACGCCTAAACCATTAGACATGGGAAACTTAATTTTGACCAGTAAATCTACCATCGGACCTAGTTATATAGCCACAACGGAGCCATCACCATTGGTTCACCTATAAATACATGCACTACAGGCTCTAGGGCAGAATTTTCCTGTTTGTCAATCGTTTGAGACCTTTGTGTACAACTGGTCATTTGGCCCTCATTGAAGTTCTAGCTTCCATCCATCTCGTCATTATGAGGGACAGTGGCCCTGAGCAATGCAGGCATGGCAGATATGGCCAGGGATACTTTGTCGATGTGGATGCCCTCCGCGAGCAAGAGTACCCTCTCCTAAGTCGTATGTCCCCATACTGGAGATTATTCAATCCACTTGTACTGACCATTATCTTCCACGGTTACAGAGACAACGTATCTTGATCACGCCGGTACAACTCTCTATGCCAAGTCATTAATCACGGCGTTCTCGCGTGATATGCAATCCAATCTATTTGGAAATCCACATTCAATGTCCGTGTCATCGCGATTGTCTACACAGCGCACAGAGGATGTACGATCACGGGTTCTCAATTTCTTCAATGCCAGCCCCGACGAGTTTGATGTGGTGTTCGTGGCAAATGCGACTGCGGCTATTAAGCTGGTTGCAGACTCATTTCGGGATTTTGATTCACGAGGTTTCTGGTACGGTTACCATGTTGATTCTCATACCAGTGTTATCGGTGTACGGGAGGTCGCCAAGATGGGTTATGAATGTTTCCATGATGCCGATGTGAATGCTTGGATCTCCGAACTACGTAAAGCTCAGTCAAGAGCGCCCAAGCTGTTTGCTTTTCCGGCCCAGTCTAACATGAACGGCCGACGTCTCCCTGTCCGATGGTGCGAGCAGATCCGTTCCGCTGCCGATGGAGGAGCGAATGTGTTCACCCTGCTTGACGCCGCCTCGTTTGTGTCAACAGCTGCTCTCGACCTGGGGGATGCAAATGCTGCGCCAGATTTTACGGCGCTCAGCTTTTACAAGATTTTTGGATTTCCTGATCTAGGAGCGTTGATTGTCCGAAAAAGCGCTGCCCGCATTCTAGAACGGCGTAAGTTCTTCGGTGGGGGGACAGTGGATATGGTGATAGCGTCCGGAGCGCAATGGCATGCGAAAAAAGAAACGACGATCCATGAGCAACTTGAAGACGGTACCCTTCCTTTTCACAGCATTATCGCGCTGGATGCCGCCATTGACACGCACGAACGTCTATACGGGTCAATGGCAAATATTTCTGCCCACACTGGGTTCCTCGCCAAGCGAGTCTATGATCGACTTTCTGCATTGACCCACTTTAACGACAAGAAGGTCTGTCGGATCTACCAATCAGATTATGGAAATCAAGCGCTTCAGGGCCCGATCATCGCGTTCAATCTCAGAAACAGTCGAGGCGAGTGGGTTCCTAAAACTGCGGTCGAGAAACTAGCAACATTGCGGAATATCCAACTGCGTTCTGGATCAGTTTGCAATCCTGGAGGAACGGCCCGGTCTCTTGGATGGGTGGGTACAGAGCTGCGCCATCATTATGCTGCCGGTTTACGATGCGGTGACGACCACGATGTATTAGGCGGTCGACCGACCGGTATTCTGCGTGTCAGTTTGGGTGCGATGACCAGCCAAAAGGATATTGACGCACTGACTGATTTCATCGAGGAGTTTTATGTGGAGAAAGCTCCTCGTATACTTTCACTGAACCCGTCCATGGACGAGAATAACGTGATTACTCCTCACTTTTATGTTGAAAGTCTGACGATCTTTCCCATCAGAGGTTGTGGCGCATTCAATATTCCCAAAGGCAGGCGTTGGGTGGTCAAAAGAGAAGGACTTGTATGGGACCAAGAATGGCACCTCGTTCATCATGAAACTGGTGTTCCGCTGAAGCGAAACGAACACCCGCGGATGGCTCTGGTACGCCCCTTTCTCGATATTGATCGCGGCATACTGCGCGTCACCTGCGATGCCCCAAATGATCAATTAAGCCTCGAAGTTCCTTTGACTTGGAAGGATACCTGTATGACTCTGATGACTACTCCGGTACGTTTGAGTTGTCAAAAAGGGTCGGTCAATGCCTACAGAGATAGGTTGTGTCTTCGTGCCTACGCCTCACCTGTGGTCTCGGCGTTCTTTACCGAAATTTTAGGGGTACCTTGTACACTCGCACGTTTCTTCTCCCAGGATCCAAGTCTGGACATGCAGCTACCACAACTTGCCAGCACCTGGAAAGATCGACTATGGAGATATACTGGATGGGAGGTTTTGCCAAGTAATCGATCTGCGCGCAAGACTGGCCAAAAGTATCTGCTCCTATCTAGCGAGACATCCACCTTGATTGTCTCTAGATCGTCTGTCAATCGTCTGAATGAAACCATCAAGGCCAACACCGAGCATACCTCTGACATCAGCAAAGTCATTGCGGCAAATTTATTCCATGGCAATATTGTAGTAGCCGAGCAAACCTCTGAGCGGGAGAGGGCAGAACAACCTTTTATTGAGGATCACTGGTCGTCTGTTCGCATTGGACAAGACCAGCTTCGCTTTGATGTTTTCGACCCGTGCCTGCGTTGTCAGATGCTATTCGTCGGCCAGTCTATGGGCCCGCGACGTAATGAAATTCTTGCTGCGCTCCCCAAGATGCGAAAGGCCGATGGCAAAACTATGTTCGGTAGATATGCGGCGATTTCTACAAATGCAGCCTACACTGGTTCGGAGGAGTCGAGCAGCAAGACAATCATGGTTGGCGATGTTGTGTTGCCCTCATATCAGAATCACTGAGCCACTCAACTGCGAGGTTCTTTCATGGGCTATCGGACTTTCTGTTGCCCTTTCGGCGCCTTGGTCTTTCTCGAGAAGTGTACTGATATGTATCGATATCAAGCATAAAATATGAATTATCATTTTATTGAACCAAGAAAAGAAGTTCTACCATACAAACTAGAACCATCTTATTTTCTTCTTGAAGTTGTTGTTAAATTTTTTTCTTCATTCGTGACTGGAGCCGTTCAGATCAAGAACGAAAGTCCTTGGAACCTATTTGGAAATAGGATCATGAAAAACAATGCTCTTGCAAATTACAATAACAAGAGTTCGCATGTAAACTTACGATGACGGAGATCCCGGGGACTAAGGGCGAGGCAAGAAGGCATGGTAATGATAATCAAAATTTGCTAATCGGTTCGAGGCGGCAGGTTCCGGTTGTCCATTCCAGGCTCGTATTCTAATGTGGTGCTACAATGATAATGATGCAGATTCCTATATTTCTGAGACACTACAGCATCACGGACCGGCTATTTAACAGGAAATTGGAGACCTTCAGTAAACCGCACCATTAGAAAGCATTCGGAATAACAATGCATAATTCGAGAACTCCACAAATATACCATCTCTCGTTCTGGGATGCCCATGCCAGAAATCAAGTGGCAGAGCCTGTTGCGGTTTCCAATACGACTCTAGAGTAAGTAACAGCACTGTATGCCAAAACCAAGTGCATCACATAGAGGCTAGACCGCCAACTACTGAATACCCCGATAGTCTCAAGTGGTTGGATTCTGTAGATTGCAGCACCGATCGTAGTGTAAATTGCGAAATGGCCAAGTTGGATCGCCAGCGGCGGGGGACTTGGCAGCGTCCCAGTCAGGGCGTGGATGGTTGGAACCAGGGAGAGCAGACCCAGCGAGACACAATGGTAAGGAAACCTCATTCGCGCCGTAGAGATGGTGGGATCGCAAACCAAAAAGTCCACCAAATTTCCAACGGCGACTAGGGTAAATGCGAACAGATAGCCAAGCTGGATGGAAGGCTGTGTGGTGAATTGCAAGACCACAGCTGGAACCGTTGACGCCCAGATAAGGATCAAAGCCCCACCGAACTCGAGCTTCTGCCAGTGGGCTGCACCGTCTCCCTGGAACGCAGATATCGTTCGGTAAATTAGGCTTGACGAGTACCACAATAGACCACCGCCGCTAAAGGAGATCACAGAGAGTGAACTGATGATCGCATCTGGAGATGACGGGAAATGGAACAGAAGAAATTGCAGGACAAAGAGAGAAAAGTAAGTCAATCCGAAAATGTCGATGATGGTGATGACTGCAGAGTCGCGCAGACTTTGGAGCTCGGAGTTGGGCATGGTAATCGCGTTGCCTGGCCAGGGTTTTTGATAGCAGCTCGGCCAGAATTTATAACCTCGGTCGGCGGTAGAATACAAGAGCAGATCTGATCTGTCACTATCAAACATCTTTTACACAGCGACCGCATCATTCTTCCGCCCTCAAGTATAGAATTGATTTTTGCTTTTAAACGCGATTTAAGAGTTGCTTTAACTTATTACAGTTTATTTGCCGAAATGGACGATACCCATTCCCTCAGGAAGTGTGACGTGCATAAGTCTAGGATTGGAGCTCAACACTCCCTTCTTCATAGGTAGAATCCTAAATCAGGACTCATGTCATTTAATCCAGCGCCAGTTACGTACCAGCTATGGCATATTTCTATCATTTCCTTGTTTCCCTTAGTACGACACGGAAAGTACTGTGATAGTGGACCACAGAGAGATACATGTAAACAGATGCTATTTACACAGATCAACAATACCCCTCTTCCCCGAAAACATTCCAATCGCCATACTATGAGAGGTAGCTGGTGAATTTCAAATACCATCGGTAATGCATCTTGGGCAGAACAGCCATGGGTCTGTACAGCACCAGAGGACCCTGAACGTCATGTTGGCCGGTTGCGAACTTACTAGTTTAGCTATAGGTACTGTAATCTGGGCCAGTGTCTTACTTGTTTGGATTGTGTGAGCCATAAATCCCGTGCGTTAGAAAAGAGCTAATGACCCAAAGGGCTGCTCGTGGCTTATCTGACAAGCACATAACTGCGGTCTTTCAAAGGTCAATCTTTACTGAAATGACCAGAATTGTAACATTTTAGTGAGTGATATATAAAGCTGTAGTCATCCAGGACTTTTAGACTAAACAGTTTCTGAAATTGAATATTTAAGAGCTTCCGACAGAAACTTATCCCCCTGAAAAGCATCCACTAAGACCTATGCCATCCTGATGAAGGCTCGCCCCCGACGATCAAGGCTAAAGCAAGCCACCTTAATCCCAAAAGCAGAGTATAGTAAGTTCGAGCTTTGCTTGCACAGACCCTCGGGATTAATTCAAGTACAAAAGGATTCCGACAGCTCACTTCCGACTATGGAAATCTGCGATCGTCTAATGTACCTTTTCGGGCCCAACACCATATTTTGAAAGCCTTGCAGTATCGGTTAGAGCAATGTGGTTTTGCGTTTCTCCAGCGATTTTCAAAGGAAACGTGCCAACCACTTGGATGCGTGTGCCCGGAGGAGATGGAGTTGCCCAAATTCTTTCAAATACTCGAGCGGCGCTTAAGTTCCTTAGGCTCAAAAGGAATCATGAGGTGGAAACGTAAGGTCACCGATATCCGGCATGCTGCAGTTCACCTAGTTGCGCAAAACCGGCAATACCTTTGCGAAAAACTCGACATCGCTATTGCCTTCGCAAGAGCCCTTGGAGATTCTCAATGTGCCCAGGATATGGGAGATTTCAAAAGATGCTTCGAAACCCTTTTAGATGACTTGGATGAGTACTCCCAACGATTGGCTTGTCGAACCAAGGCACAGGTTTATCTTTGCAGATGCTATCCAGTGAAAATGAGAAGAAGATTGCTGTTGTTACCGGAAGCCATCAAGATATTGAATGAGCGAAATGAGCGCCACTTCAACTCACTCGTGCAAGGAGCTCTCAGAAAGTGTCTTTTCGACGGGAGATGTCTTCTGTGAATTAATACCGACAAGGTACAACCGAGCGACGTGCGTCCCACCAGGAATATCTATACCATCGCTTCTGTGGTTCACATAGTTTCAGATCATGACTTGCGAGCTCACAGATCATATAAGGAAGCCGTGCTTCAATGTGGCAGGTGCAACTCAAACGACGGTCACGGCTTCATGAATAGCACGCACAGTTTCAGCTATCTTTGCAGCACCTATCGAGCAAATTTTGACAGCAAGTGATTACAGCTAGATGCCACGTATTCCTAGTTTATGAGGCTACTACCAGCTGGTGGCATTTGGTTCGGGGGCGTGTGAGGAGATGAGAAGCGGATTTTTTTGCCTTTTAGGATCTATTTGTTACATTGAACGGTAGATTTTGTAAAAGTGAGGTTGTATCCTACGCTGATAAGTTTGAGCCATGTCATTTTCTCATGAAAAGACACATTAGTATGAGCCATTGCTAAAGCTGAAGCTGCGGGATCATAGGGATCAAATGTGCTTATCGTAAGTGGCCCTGCTGATTACACCGGGTAGAACTACAAAGGAAGTCCTAAGTTCCCAACAATTCAAAGGTCAAGCGGTAACAAAGCAAGAGTGGGTGAGACAATAGGGACATTGAAGGGTCCCTTCCCATTCCTCGATAAGAGGTGGAACATACAAGACGGAAATACAGAAATAGGAAGTTACGTCAATCGCATTAGCTGAATGCTAGAATCTATCGAATTGCCGATGTTCACCCAACAGGTCTACATCCGGCACAGTCCATGCCTCAACACGTACGATGCCCGCTCGGACTCGGACAGGGAGAAGCATTACAAGAGGACTAGGCGGATGGCGACCCCTCAGTATATTAGTGGGCAATGCACCTTCAATCCCTGCTTTAAAAGCGCCCTCCCATCAGGCGCTAGCCGATCAACCTCCGCATCAGCAGGCAACGTCCCGACATAAGCATTAAAATTGTATATACCACAGATGCAATTGTCAACAATATCCCTTAGACTAGTCCCAGACAGCTCATCGACCATCTTCCCATCCCTCTCGACATGGAACGACTGGGCACCAACGCTCATTGGCACCGTCCATGCTCGTATCCCTGCCGGTGCATGAAACGTCTGTATGTTCATGCCCGACGTCACCGTCACTAGTGCTGGCTGCTTTAGCTGTGTGACCACGAAGACGGAGTCTTGCATTGTGTTTGCGCCATCTGGGCGGCTGCAGGCGGCGAGGAAGCTATCACCGCCGTTGTCGGCGCTTCGTATGGTTGTGTCCGTCGCATTGCAGTCCGTTGATTTGGGAGTTGGCCGATACCAGTATATTAGTTTTTCTTCCTCGAGGTAGTTTGATGGGAGCGTTGAGCCAGCTTTGTAGGCTGATATGAAGGGTTTAGCCATGTCTAACCAGCCATTGTGTGGCCTATTCCTAGTCAGTGCTTTGCTTGAATAGCCTTATTTGGGACTAATTCTTTACATGTCCGTCACCCATTTTGACGAGCCGTCGTCGGTGTGAGGTGATGAGAGTGGTCCAATGTAGTGCGACTCGCCATAGTCGTTCCAGGTGATAATCTCCACGAAACGGGGCTTGGTGGTGAGGATGTCTCTCCATCGGTTGTACCAGAGGAGATTGGAAGGGTAGACCCGGTTCTTGTTGTAGGAGAAGTCGTCGCCAAAATGCGTCGAGAACCAGGGGGAGACGGCTGTTAGTCAGTAGATATCTCTAAGTGTGATGCAAATAGTCACTTACGAGCAATGTAAGGCTTCCCGCCAAGCGCCACCTTGTACGCCGTATCACCATCGATAACAGACACCTTCCGCTCAGCAGTCGGGGCATTGTTGTACCCGTCACTTTCCCAGGCCATCCAGTTCAAGGCACCATCAACATCATCAAAATTACCCTGTCCTGGGTGGTAATTAGGCGCTAAAAAAATGTCGCCGCCTGCAGCGGATCTCAGTTCGCTGCAATAGATCCCGTCGCCAGAAAAGGATGACACAAATACTTTGCCATCGACCCTGAGCTGTGCAGAGTGATCTGAAAACTGCCTGATCTTGGCACCAATCTCACTGCTTTGGTTGACATTGTACCAGTTGAAGTCGAAGGAGATGAACACCTTCATATTATGGTCGGCGGCAGATTGATAGGCAAAGTTCAGCTGGGTATCTGTGTACGGGTCATTGCCAATATTCAGGGCAAAGGCATCGATTCCAGCTCCTTTGGCGCGTTTCATGTCGGCATCATAATCGCTGGCACTTTGGCGATTACTCACAACTCCAATCTAGATATCATTAGTAGTTATAGGAAAGAAAAAAACGGCAGTCTCACCATGAAATGACAGAAAACCAGTCTGTCCCCTGTATTGGAATTGGTACCACTAATGGACATAGCATTCATAAACTCTACCGGAGTAGGTGAAGCAGTAATGAAAGGAAGTAGCCCTATCAAGGCCAGAAAGATGAAGCGGAACATCGGGAAATTAATCCCCAAGAACCGGTCAAGCCTGTTGTGACGCAAAGTGAACGAGTAAACGAGGAATATATTTCTGAGTCAAGAAGTAAAAGGCAAGTTAATGCAGCAAAAAAAAAGGTAAGAAAAAATTGCAAGAGATCAGGAGTCTTGATATATATACTTCCTGCAATGTGTGACAATGTGGTAGTGCGCCTCCGTTCACACCGCATTGTTGTTGATCATGCACCCTTTATATGTGCCTACAAAGCACAATTCAAAAGCCACAAATGACAAAGCACCAATCTTATACAAATCGTTGAGGCCCTTCTGCCCGCGCGCCGGAACGGATCCGACTACTACAGAGTTCCTTGTTAGATGGAGAACCTCGGTGCTTAGAATCCGGGAATGTGAGTACAAGATCTAGATTGTACATTACCTCGGCTTATCTAAATCTACATTGGGGCCCTCAAATACAGAGGGTTTGTAAATAGTCCGCGTGGCTAAGTCTGGGCATGCTATTGGTTGATCGACGACGCCTCGGTTGGTCAGCGGCTAATTTGGGGAACTGGCGTGTTTACTTGAAAACATAGGGTTGTTCTGAGCCTTGCGTTTGTAGATAGATTCAGCAAAGCAGTCCAACCTAGTCTAGCCTAATATCTTGTCTGGGGTCTTGTAGATGGTTGACGTCTTGATATCAATCTAGACCAAGTCGGCGAAGGTGTCTCAGAGGTTAAGTCTCCGGCTCTGCAGGTTGGTTATGACTTGCATCTGGATACGGGTTGAACAGGACTAAAGGTACACAGTATACCAGCATATCAATCAGTGGTGGTGTTGGAAGAAGAAAGGAATTAACTTCCACCGAAGCCTTGTTTGTAAACAATTTCTTCAATTCAAGTAAAGCTGGTTGACGCAAACCCAATACTTCCCTTCAAGCCTCAGCCTTTCTATGATTCACTAGCGCTCTTCTACCAAGACCTACTATCTTAAGGAAAATCTCTTTGCTATCTAAAAGAGCCTCGTCATAGTCATTTAGTGGGCGTGAAATGCTTCAATTGATAAGATTCTCCCAAATATTCCGACGTTCTGGGACATTAAAAACAGGAGGCTTGGGGAAGACCAACTTAGCCGAAGAATCGGTTAGATAGTCCGCGGGAGTCCTGTGGACTGCGGGCTGAGGACGCTTTTCCTAAAGCAGCATTAACTGTGGGCCATTAAGCTTTTCCTCCAACACGGAACTTACTATTTCCCCCTAGTTGGGGCAGGTAGTTCAGGATGAGAGCAGTATGTATAGATACGCTTATTGGGCATTTCCATTATGAGCCAGCTCCGAATTGAGTATAAGCGCCAAAAATCATTGTGGCGCCGAAGGAGGTTGTTTCGCCGCTTCCGGAGTTGTTCTTGCTTGACACGGCTCAAGGTGTGCGCCATTTACGTGGTCTGTGAACCTAGGAGTCCAGGTATCAGTTGGTGAAAGAGCTCACCGTGAGAAGAGAGAAAGGAGGGCCCCTCCTTTGTATTATATCTTTATTATGTACTGGCTAAGAGAGCGAGCACATTTGAAGAACTGTTCCACGCCGTCAGATTCGTGAGCACTTTGGGCTATGTCGGACCTTTGTGCGAGAAGAAAGGATGAACGTTAGCTGTGTCTGCTGGCGAGTAAACAGTCAGAATTGTGCTATGCCAGCAAAATGTTGAAAATGAAAGTCTGGTCAAATCCTGGTGTGCTTTTGTGCATGACCTCTATATTCGGGGGAGAATAAATGAGGATAACAATATGGCGGGGAATTAATTACCAGCCTATGCCAGCAGAAAGGAAAACTAGGGAACCGGAAAATCAAACCTTGGTCAGAACGGTCATTTATTGTAACCATGCCACTAAGCTACAGTATCTGCTTTAGATCGTTCTACTTCGCAAAAATAGAATCCAGGCATTGCCCTAACCCTTCAACCTTGTAACTCCCGACTCAATTGTGCCTCTTACACCGAGAACGATTCAAAGAAATATAGGCGGAGATTAAAAGCGAAGAAATCGGTGCCCAATATCATCAGCAGGACAGACCCAGCACGAAACTTTATCACATTTTAACAGTTGCGTGCTTAGTATCAGCTTAGTCTAGCCATTACACCAAAAAATACAATATTCGTTACACTTTACATGTAGTTTGGGGGCTTCGTCGTTGGCTAAACATTGTGCTTTTTTGATCTGGTAGCGTAGTGGTAAAATCCAAGTGAAAGCGGTCCCTTACATAGAACGACGACTTGCCCGGGTCTTTCCTGTGAAGAATGAGGTGGATCAGGGCATTGCATTCTGACTTATACTCGAAGGCCTTTTGAAGGCATAGCTTCTTCTTCTTCTTCTGCGCGCCTTTTGATTGACTGCAACTGCTGGGTTCGTTTTCTGATTTGACGGAACAACCACAGAGTAGTGTTGGTTAGCAATATTCGAAATCAGTTTAGCCCGTCGGTGCATCGGCTGCTCTTCGGTTGGGCAGTTGCCTGTGCTACAGAACCGGATCGAAATTAGTTTCACCACTCTCTCCGTGTGGATCTTTCTCCAAGCACATTTTGAACCACGCTAGTCCGTTATATACTCCTCAGGTTCATTTTTGACTACCTCGTCTGATGATGAGGGATTTCATATTGTACTCCATGCTCACAATTTGGATCGGTCAGTGTGTCTTCCCTATTACAAGACCTTACTTACACCATTCAGTCAGCCGGGCAATCAGGAAGAGACAGCTACGTACTTCATGCACTGTCTCGAAGCTGCTCAGCCAATAGTAACTGTTCTCGCCATCGTCCTTGAGCGCGGCGGCCAGCTAAATGATGGTCAAAACTTGCTTCACTACCGTCTCCAGACCACCGTGTACAACCCGTCAACTCGTTCCTCTCACACTTTCCCCATTACAGCCTATTTCAAGAACGGTCAACGTTGGGCCAACTTTCCTCCTCTCAATACAAACACCCATGTCTTTGTTACAGGCCGTATCTTCGGCCTCACCAAAAAAATCGCCAGCTGGCTATCATCACCGATGATGTGCATTTTCTTCCAACCCTTACTCATAATCTGCCTCCGACTCCTTCCTCAACAACTGGTAAACGAAAGCGAGTCGATCGTTGGACCCAAAGAGCAGGCCCCACCACCCCCACCAAAACGAGCCCCAGCAATGAAACATCCCCGATCAACCCGCTTTATTCTCCATCCTCTAAAACAAATCCACTAGATGTTGAAAACGAGCAAAATTCTCAAATCACGTGGTCCCCCACAGCAGACGCCATCCAAGCTTCACCTTATGTTAGCACTCCCACCCAGAAAGACGCTCTCAGCGATCAAAGAAATATTCACATGCTGGTTAACAAATCGAGCAAATCTCTAGTTTTCGGTTTCCAGTCATACGATTCTTACTCAGCCGTATTTTTTTTTTTTTTTCATTGGTCGTTTGTTATATAGATCTTACTCTTATCATGCCACACAATTTGATATTTCTTTTCACCTACTTTCCCCGGATACCCAATTCACCGTTTCAGGGCCGATGCGCGCGACGCGCGCGTCTTCCAGTAGATACAAGTCTAACCCTAATGCATGAGTAGTGCGTATCAGGGTGACAGGACAATACCATCAGTACAGGGAATCCAACACGTAATGCCTTGCAACGCAGAGTCACATGATATGAGTATGGTGATTTACTGGAAATACTAATACGACTGGTACTCGCCATCTTTGATGCCCCTCATCGCTCATGTGTAGAAAAGCCGGCCCGGAAAACAGCCGCGAAAGTTACGCGCACCCCAAGGCCGGATATTCGAATTCGGCGGATGATGGACTGCGCCAAGACTGCGAAGAAACACATGACCCCGGGACATTCAGGGATTCCAGTTCCTCCAACGTGAGCAGTAGAATGCAAGTTGTCTTGGGTAGTAGAATGTCCAGCAGATGTGAATGACACTAAAATGATGCATTCACGCGCTCGAGGAAGATTTGCGTCAAAAGCGGCCGACATGACATCAGAGGCTTGCCATGTACAAGGCTGAGGTCTGTTTTCGCAGGAGGGTGTTCGATCTTCGTGGATCAGTCTAGAACGGAGATCGTCATACATCCAGATGACCATGGCAAAAAGTATTTCTAGCCATGCAGACATTGCATTATGGACATCGTAGGCAAGAGAGTGTAGGGAGAATCCTCGAGCGCAACTGGCAGCTGCCCAGAAATGGTATAAAAGAACAGAGCTTTCCTTTTGTCTCATAAGGTAAGCGATCTTTCGACACTGATCACTTGAACATTTACTTGATTATCCATAACTTCATAGTTTCCTACTTCCACTTTGACATTGGAATAATATCACCATCTGATATTAGGGCTATTTCATGTATTTAATCGATATCTGAATTGCTTACATTTCCCGTCTCAAGCGACTACTCTCAATCACGATGGCTGATCCAATCGCAATCGCGTCGGGGATTGTGGGGCTGCTTTCACTTGGTATTCAAGTCACCCAATCTTTGGTCGACTTTTACACGGCATACAAAGACCAGGACACCGATGTGGCGAAGATTGCGCAGAATCTAGATAATCTTCAGGGTACCTTTCGCTCCCTTGATGTTGCAGTACGGGATCGCCGGTCCCAGGCCGACACGCAAGAGCTATTTGAAGAAGTCGAGAAGGCAACACTGAGATGCGATAAAATCATCAAGGAGCTACATATCGAGTGCCAAAAGTTCCAGAAAGACTTGGCCGCCGGTTTCAAGGCCCGTATTCATGTTGCTGGGCGTCGCGCGGCCTATCCATTTCGGAAAAGCACCTTACAGAAGCTCGAAAAAGACGTCGGGGAGATACGTGAAAATTTGTCATTCGCACTTGACGTCCTCCAACTAAAAAGCCACAATGAGATCCATGGTGGCATATCGGAAGTCAAATCACTTGTCGAGCGAACGAACGCTAGTCAAGTCTCTTTCACGATTCGTGCTTGGCTTGTGGCGCCAGATGCTTCTCTCAACCACAACGCTGCATGTGCGAAAAGCCATCGAAACACAGGTCTATGGTTCGTCAACGGCCATCACTTTCGGAATTGGTTACACGAACGCAATTCCTTTCTATGGCTAAATGGGTTTGCGGGATGTGGCAAGTCGGTCCTCTGCTCAACGGCAATCCAACATACATTCCGCGTGATGAGACATATATATGGAGTGGGAATCGCGTTCTTCTACTTTTCCTTCAACGACGAGGCAAAGCAAGATGATAACGGTATGCTACGTGCACTGCTACTGCAACTGTCCGTACAGCTACAAGGCGGCGAAAGAGATCTGGAGCAACTGCATGCATTATATAAATCCGGATCTCCACCAGTGGATGCGCTACTTGGCTCACTTCAACGCTTTCTTAACCAATTCCACAATAGCTATATTCTGCTCGATGCGCTCGACGAGAGTCCCCGAGACAGCAGCAGGGCTGGCGTTCTAAGAGCGATACAGGAGATACGCAGTTGGTCCATATCTAGTGTCCATCTTTTGGTCACCAGTCGCAACGAGCGTGATATCCGTAAATCCTTAGATCCTTCTCATCATCAAGGTCTTTCGATGAGGAATTCGGAGATCGACAGAGACATAGAAAACTTTGTCTCTTATGAGCTCGAGAACGACGCGAAACTTCAGAAGTGGGAAGCACGTCACGAGGAGATTCGAACAAAATTGACAACAGGTGCACAAGGAGTGTAGGTGTTCGACAACGAAAACTAGTCTCCACTACTTTGACTAAGATGACATACAGATTCAGATATGTTGAATGTCAGCTTAACGCCCTTCGGCAGGCGCTCAACCGGAACCAGCTTGACGGATGTCTGCGCACGTTGCCCCGTGATCTAGATGAAACGTACGAGCGAATCTTGTGCAGTATCAGCGATGAATATGTCGAGGACGTGAGGCGGGTTTTGACCGTGCTTTGCTTCTCCACCCGACCGCTCACAGTCAATGAGTTAATCGACGCACATGCTGTTGAGCTTAGTGAGCCGCCGCATCTTGATCGTGACGGTCGTTCGTACGAGCAAGATGATCTTATCGACATCTGCCTTGGACTTATCGAGATCGCCGCCACGGAAGACAACAATGGGCAAAACACCTTGACTGTCCGTATAGCACATTCCTCCGTCCAGGAGTATCTTCAATCAGACCGCATCTTGCAACAAAAAGCACAAAGGTTCGCCATGCGGAGTGCACCTGCGAATACAGAAATAGCCCAGATCTGTCTGGTCTACCTCTTGGAGCCAACTCTCTCTAGGGAAACATTAGATCAGGCAAAGCTCACAGAGTTCCCATTTGCTCATTTCGCAGCCACGCATTGGTTTCATCATTACGCAAACTCGAAGGAAGGGAAGACCGCAATTGAACAACTAGTGTCCAAGCTTTTCAAAACCGAGACGAAGGCTTTCGTAACGTGGATACGGTTACATGACATGGACCGTCCGTGGAATATGAATGTGCATTATAACCGTCCTCTTACTGATATGGCATTGCCTCTGTACTACGCAGGATTGTTGGGATTAGAATCCGTCTTGAACAGTATCTTACCGATTGACACTACGGATGCGAATTTATCGGATACAGTGAATGCTCAAGGAGGGTGGTTCGGCAATGCACTGCAAGCCGCAGCAGAGGGAGGGCATGAAAGGGTGGTGCAGATGCTGCTAGATCGAGGTGCCGACGTCAACGTCCAGGGTGGATTCTATGGCAATGCACTCCAGGCCGCATCATACGGAGGCCATGCAAAGGTGGTGCAGATGCTGTTAGATCGAGGTGCCGACGTCAACGTCCAGGGTGGAGACTATGACAATGCTCTCCAGGCTGCATCGTCTGGAGGCCATGAAAAGGCGGTGCAGATGCTGCTAGATCGAGGTGCCGACGTCAACGCCCAGCGTGAACATTATGGCAATGCACTTCAGGCTGCATCGCGTGGAGGCTATGAAAAGGCGGTGCAGATGCTGCTAGATCGAGGTGCCGACGTCAACGCCCGGGGTGGACATTATGACAATGCTCTCCAGGCCGCATCATACGGAGGCCATGAAAAGGTGGTGCAGATGCTGCTAGATCGAGGTGCCGACGTCAACGCCCAGCATGGACATTATGGCAATGCACTTCAGTTCGCATCATACGGAGGCCATGAAAAGGTGGTGCAGATGCTGTTAGATCGAGGTGCCGACGTCAACGCCCAGCGTGGACATTATGACAATGCTCTCCAGGCTGCATCATACGGAGGCCATGAAAAGGTGGTGCAGATGCTGCTAGATCGAGGTGCCGACGTCAACGTCAAGGGTGGAGACTATTGCAATGCACTCCAGGCCGCATCGTGCGGAGGCCATGAAAAACTGGTGAAGATGCTCTTGGATCGAGATGCCGACGTTAACGTCCAGGGTGGATTCTATGGCAATGCACTCCAGGCAGCGTCGTCCGGAGGCCATGAAAAGGTGGTGCAGATGCTGCTAGATCGGGGTGCCGACGTCAACGTCCAGGGTGGAGACTATGACAATGCACTCCAGGCTGCGTCGTCCGGAGGCCATGAAAAAGCGGTGCAGATGCTGCTAGATCGAGGTGCCGACGTCAACGCCCAGGGTGGACATTATGACAATGCACTCCAGGCTGCATCATACGGAGGCCATGAAAAGGTGGTGCAGTTGCTGCTAGATCGAGGTGTCAACGTCAACGCCCAGGGTGGACATTATGACAATGCACTCCAGGCCGCATCGCGCGGAGGCCATGAAAATGTGGTGCAGATGCTGTTATATCGAGGTGCCGACGTCAACGTCCAGGGTGGGCGCCACGGCAATGCACTCCAGGCCGCATCGCGCGGAGGCCATGAAAAGCTGGTGCAGATGCTCTTGGATCGAGATGCCGATGTCAGCGTCAGGAGTGAAGAACTCAGTCTTCAATAGTGAACTGTGTCATTATGTTTATATTCGATTTCTTTTAGTACATTTGGTAATGAGAAGAGCTGGTCGATTTCACAATTAGGGTGTCTATCGAAACTCCCAATAAGAATTGTTCGTGTGGAACTGATCCTGGGCCAGGAGCCTAGAAGATGGAGAAGAAATCCGGCTGCCCATTGCAGATATAGTCCGACGCGAACACCAGTGCCATATATGTCGCCGTCCCCCTCTGTGGAGCAAGATTGCATAACTGGGATTGATTGTCGTAATGAGAGGATGGGTGAGCTTGGAATGGGGAAAGCCGAAATAATCGGAGCGAGAGCAAGGATGGATCAAGATGATCCCTATCCAACAGGAAGTCCGAATAGTTTGCGAAGCGAGGTCGGCCATCGTTAAGAGAGGGATGATGTGCGACATGGATTGATTAGCTGAATGATTATTACACCACTCGGGTGTCTCCTACGAGAAGCATTTGATAATATCCTTACTGACGGAGTAGAAAATACAATATTCTATTTTCTCATCTAATGCGGGTACTATCGCCATTAATATACAACGATGACAGATACGAATAGACGTCGACATCCTAATAATTGCTTTTTGACCTTTTTCTGGATCATCTGACGCACAGGAGTCTAAATTAAATTTGAAACCTCATCCCGAGAGACCATCGACCACCTTTGAAAATTGAGTTTGCCCACAACCGTCTAGGAGTTCTAGACTGTCAAATAACGTATTATCATTGAATCCATGGACTATGCCACAAGAGCCTGTTTCTGGCTTCACTGGGCCATCCATGTCCCCAAAGGTTTGGTTGCAATTGAAGCACGTCTCACGTTTGTTGTTTGATAGTTGCTTTATCAGAACACGTAGGCGAGTTTATTCGACACTGGACACTAAACACTGGCTTATAGGTGGCGTCAGAATAAAGGGTTGGTGCGGAGTGGTTGTGTCAATTTTGTCATATACCACATATTTCAAGCGGTGATAACTATCATCTGTTAAAGCTTGGAAAATAAAAACATATAATAATAGGTTTTGGTGACACCTAGATCAGAGTTCCCTACTCTAAGAATGGTCGAGATCATTCACATTACTAATAACTCTTAATACGGAACGGTTATATACAATCGGAGTGTGACTTAACAGAGGTAAGGAACCGCGGATGGAGGTACCACGGACGAACTTAAAATAAGGTTGCGGGCTCGGATGATCGACGTACGTCATGTGGCGTACCCTATCCCATGGGGGAGGGACGACCCAGGCCGGGTCGGATTAGGGTTTGTCACTTTTGAATGGGAGGGAAAAAGCGGGCCCGAGCCCAGTCGAATGAATTTTCAGACCCTATGGACGAGGACAGCAACGATTCCAGGCAAGCAGCGGCAGCGATCCCGTTGCCCACCGAGTTTATTGGTCTAATACATTACCCCTGCAATAACCTAGTAATAGCCCAGTAAAAGCCCAATTCCCACCCCAGTTTTCAAAAGAACTCTCAAAACATTTCCTCTACAAACTCCAAGATAGCTAAGGACTTCTACACCAAGAGACTGTAGGGTAATTATAACTATCTACGCATTAAAAAACATATAGAATAACTATACTTTATAGCTTAATAAAGAATTTAAAGGAGAAAAGGAGGATTTACTTTGTTTTTAAACAGCTTTACTATATAGTAAAAAAAATACTGTTGTAATAAACATCTAGTATATACATGTGTATCCACGGCTTCAAATAACATATTTTCTAAACTACTAGCCACACTAATATTTTATAGAAAATAGTATACAAAAAGAAGTAATTAATATTAAACTAGCTTTATAGTTCTAAATAACAATAGGCTTTCAGGAAATTTCATTCAAATTGTTTAAATAAAGGGTAGATTTCAACTTATAAACCAAAACGGAGGAGAATAACCGTACGTTATCTAAATGACTAACCAGCTTTATACTACATTTTATGCCAACACTAGGTCGAAATGGTTGTTTCTGGGTTTTCTGGGGCCCCAGTAGCCGGGTCTGGGTTGGGCCTGGGTCGGGGGTTTTGACCCAGACCCGAGACTGGGTTCTGCGGAAGTCTAGTCCAAATGCGTGTTCCAACGTGCAAGACGGTCGAGACAAGGCCTAGGCGCGTGATAATTCCCAAGATGGAACCAAGTGACGCGCAGATGCGCGTACGAATCACCCAGTGATGTCAACAACGCGAAGATCCGTTTAAACTATGCCAAGAAGCACGCAGTTGCGAGGAGCAAGACTCGCAGTGACGCCAATAGCTCATGAGGATTGACAAAACTGGTGAAATGGGGATGCAAGGCCAAAGACTTACATCATCATGATGATGATGATGAGGAAGAAGAAGAAGAAGAAGAAGAAGAAGAAGAAGAAGAAGAAGAAGAAGAAGAAGAAGAAGAAGAAGAAGAAGAAGAAGAAGAAGTCGCAACTTGGAAAATGCTTTGTTTACATCTTGCGTGTTGCGCTTCTTTTATTCGTGAACAAAGAAACACACCTTCCTCTAAACGTCGTCGACTCTTTGTTTGCCAAACAAAGGATGCAAGTTTGCACCATTTGCACGACATCTCAATTTTGCAGAGATCATATACATTGCGAGGAATCCATCTGAAGTCTACCTGCGAGCCTGGAGAGCTAGGCCAACCCATGAATGTAGTGAACCTGCAACGATGCAGGCCACACAAGATGAAAACCAGAGAAGTGGAGAACCTTTTCCCATGATGTTCGTTTTCCTCACTGATGCAGTGAGGTTTTCCATCTAAGCCATGGTTTTAATGGACAACTCTTGCCGCACGCATATGACCATGAAGGTTGGTCCGATTTTCTTGCAACTGTGGTGCGTTGACTTCCCAAGGAACAGTGCCTATCGTATCACAATGTTTAATTGACCCAATGAATGCTATTTTCGAGCGACGCCTCATCACATGCTTCTACACCTGGTAAGTCTGACCCTGAGCGCATAGTCAATGACTTGCGAATTGAGGTCTTGGATCATGTAAGTGCCGATGTTTGTCATGGGGTCGTCTATATACTGGGATTCTAGATGCATGGGCTATACGTGGATCTGTCAGCTGGCTATGCCACATAGTCGGATTATGTCATGTTGACTGACTTGGCTTCGCCTTTGGGCCGGGCTTCCTCGGAGGAATATCAGCAGGGGAGGTAAGATCCGTCACCTTCCATGCTGTTAGCCGGTAAACCTTGTTATACAATCTCAAATCTTTGATCAGGGAAGGTTGTACTCAACCGTAGTGTTTTTCTGAGGGTCAAAAGACCCAGGATGGATTGCAAGGCCATATATCTAACATCAAGGTTAGCATATTTGAATAGCTTACAAAATAGTTATGATTACCAAGGTGGCAGCGAGTGCTAAAGTTATCCAGACTGCTGTTTTGGAGATCATGGCTTTCTAAGATATGAGTGTTCAGTCGGATCTCCCTGTCAGCTCTCAAAAATCTTGAAATCGGGTTTGTTATGGTGACGAGACCTATGATTTATAGGTAGCAGGCATGAGTAGTGTGTCTTAAAAATGGACAGTGGTAATTGGGCCTCCCTTATGACCGGGCTGATACCGGTAGGGTCTGATTAGTGGACTGGATACTGTTTTAATTGAGTAAATGAGATGAAGAGCAGAACCCTTTTTCCTTTGAAACAACGACTTCTGAAGGTGGAGGAGCTTCTAGTTCCTAGATACTGTTTCAGAGAAATATGCGGGAAGGGGACGAAGCCATCAGATTCTGGTATTGGCTTCATATTGAGGAATGGCCATGAACAACCGGATCATCTACCCACGGAGGCTCCCAAAACGCATTACCAGAAAGATGCAGACCATTCAAAATGGTGTAAATTAACATATGATCGAGGTGCAGGGAGTATAAATCAGAGCGCTCGCGGAAGTAGCTTTCTCCAACCGTTTCCCTATCCATTGCCTTGATCACAATGAGTCTACCGCGCTATGTTTCAGAAATCGGCGAGTCTTCTTACAGTGGTTCTACTGTGTATTCCGCTGAATCTGATGTTGAGGACATCACGCATTCGGACTTTGAGTCTGAATACATCCCGTCAGAAACGAGCGAAGATCGAGACTTCGTTGTGTCAGACTCTGAAAGTCTTTCATGCGTTTCGATAGAGACTTCGGCCCCCGAAAGCTCAGGCTACAATATCCTTCATGATGGCGTCGGCGTTGTCGGAACGGTAAGCCAATATCTATTTCAGTGTGAAATTGGTTTTGACATAATTATTGAGGAACAGGGCGACAAAAGCATCAAACCTCTCAGAACAATCGCGAAGAGAATTGTGAATCGTAACGGCCGCCAAACAGTTCAATACCTAGTCCTTTGGTATTCCTGGGAAACTGCAGAACCTGTCCCACAGTAATAACCAGTTCGTAATAGGTTATATGCATCGAGTTTTATTTCTGATGTCAAGTGCCCTTACTCAAAGTCATCCCACATTTGGCCCACAATGAACGGCATCTTTATATAATTGCGGGTTATGACATTGCTAGTACATAGTTGTTAATTTCTTCCAAATCCATTGAGAACCAACTCATCTATGGTAAACTGTTAAACAAATACTATGAGTCTAAAGAGAAACGTGAGACTTCTAGCTGGTCTAAACCCTGACAGTCAATTGGTCTGTTCGCGTTATTTCCCTCTAGAACATGTGCAATCAAGATTGTGCCTCTTCTGGTATGACGCAGCCACCGATAACAAGGTCGATGTAGATAAACAATGCAAATGACGACCACAACGGCGCCGGACACGGTCCCCAAAATGTATTCCAGACTTTGCCTCGAAAGATTTCGGGATGCTTTGTTTCCGTTCAAATTAACGTCATTTGCAGCTAATGTTGTTGAAGTGGCAGGTGATGAAGAACTCGTAAAACGATCCGTTGTGAAAGACTGCATGGCTGACCGACTTGGTGTGACTATCTGACCGCTTGGGGATGATATTTGGACAGTCACATAACCCCCAAGGCTCTCGAGCATGCACTCCGACTTGGTAGATGCCTGAAAAGGCCTACTGAGTCCTAATTCTTGCCGTAAGCTCCCCTCAGAAAAGGTAGCAGAATGGCCACAAGAAGTCGTTCCAGCGCCGGCCACTTTTGCTGAGGTGGGTGCAGTGGCTTTAGCCACTGTTTGTCCATGGTAATACCCATCTGACGGTTCTCCTACTCCATTCAGGAAGCTGTCTGTTAAATATAATACCAGCTCTGTCACAGGTAATTGAAGTTGAGGCAATTCGGAGGGCCTGCTAGAACCTTCTGTGAGATCCATGATGTAGCCTGCCGATGGAGCCTCGGTTTCGCTCGTCCGAGTCATATATGCGCCATTATTGAGAACATCATCGTCCGATGTGGTAATGAACGGTGACAGATCAATAAAATGCTCGGCCACATCAGTCGGACCGTGTCTTCCTTCCCAATCCATGGATGACCCAGTAGGCTCGTACGCATCTGCTGGAATGGTCTTCCCGGAAGACTTACTCAGAGTGGCGACTGCTTGGTTTGACATTGTTGATAGCTCTTGCATGGATGAAGTTCGTACTGGGCTGTCACCTTCTGGTTCAAAAAGCATTATAGAAAATTCGTCTTGAGGGTGCGATCGTGAATAAGGGGATTGAAAGATGAGTTCCGGTGTCATCTTTGGTGAGGCACTGTGTACATGAACTGCCTGCATACTACCGACTGTTCTAAGTTTCAAAGTGGATTGTGGAATGGATACATTGTCCACTAGTGTCGAGAATATCCCTGGCACTATGTGGGAAAATGGGCTTCTAGAGACATATTAGCAGAATTAGTTTATAGGATAGGTATTGTAAGCTCAGACAGTCTCTGCCTCATTGTGTGGAGCTTTACTATCACTCAACAGGTATTCCCAATTATGGTATCAAACTCAGCAAGCGGTACAAGCGGCTACTCTTCTCTGACAAAGCCTGGCCTTCGAGAACGCAACAACGGCTGAGACTGGCGTACTTAAGAGGAATAAAATGTGTAACCAACCAAGGAAATGTCGCAAACCGGCTCGCCGACAAGGTCTGAGAACAGACACGTCGGTCATATTTACCACGCCGGGACTGCAAGCTCCCAAACACAATTTTCTAACGTAAAATCTTAGGTTACATGTATTTCCCTCAAAATATTGTGCTTGTGCGTTCACTATCGGCTATTCTAAATATTGGAAGTCTTCAGGTATCGTGAGCAAATTACAAAATGCCCGCGGAAAATATGATCGCTGCCCTAGCATAAATAGTCTGGAGGCACATTCAGTAATGCTCATGCTCTATTCTCTGCGGTATTAAAGCCCAAACTTGTTGCCCTTGGGAAACTGAACGCTCGGTTCTTTTATGGCAGAGTACTCCGAAAGCTGGTGCCATAATATACACATAAAAGAGACACTTGCTTCTTTGAATATTGCATTGCGATAAAAACAGTAGATAGGCTTTTAGAAGGCTTACATTAGAGGACTACGAATTGCAAGAAGCCTTCACCCATCCACAGGCAACGACGATCAGGAAGATGACCGTCCAATTTGTAACTGCCGCTTCCGCTTCCTTCAGGGAGGTTCATTCATTGTGCACAATTAAGGGGGTATTTGGGGTGTTACCTACACAAGGGAACCCTATACAGGCTGACTATTAGAGCCCTCTTCCGGACATCTTGCATCCTTCATACTAAGTCTCTGTTAAGTAATATCACAGTTTTTAATAAGACTTCATTTCTTGTACAGACCACTGATTCAATATGGAATAAGGTAATATAGTATAGGTAAATTTTCACAGCAAACTGGGAACGAGGATAGTGCGTATGTAACATTTCATCAGGACGCCGCCCAACTGCTCCACCTTTTCATCAGCATAATACCCAATTTCATGGTCTCTGAGTTAGACTTCGCTATGAGATCCTTTTTCAAGTTATCAGGAATACACTTTGCAACCAAAGGAATCGCGCGAATAAGCCCGATATACCGCGGATGCTTGTCCGATAGCCCTTGTAATATCGTCTCTTGCGTTTCATAGTTTGGCAGATCCATTTGCTCCTTTAGGTGGCGGTGAAATAGTTGGAGCTGACTTTTGACGATATTTTTTGTTCTGCGCTGAGCTCCATGGTAGGTTAGGGTTCTTGAATGGGTCTTTGTTATCGCACCGCGTCCTATGGGCCTTTTGGTACTGCAAGGAGCCGTTGGACATGGCCCTATAGTCGTTGAATCAGAATGCCCCAGGGCAATTCGATGCCGCTGCAAGACTATTTCATTTGGTTGCACTCTCTTTCTTTGAGATAAGTGGAGGAAAGCAAGGACCTCTTTGCTGAATTGTGAAATAGTGCAATCCTGAAGCTCAGTCTCCTCCATAAGCCCTAAGGGGTGGCATATAGTGCCTTGTTCCTTTCGTGGTGTATTAAAAGGTGAGCATTTGCCGTCATAGCCATCCAAGTATGACATTGAGTCCATGTATTCCGTACAGCAAGTGCGCTGTTATTGTCATAGATTGTTCGGGATGACCCACAGCTTAATGAGGAAGCGTTTCTAGATACCCCCTTTACTTGAAATTAGTTTTAACGGAGCTCGAAGTAGTCACCAAGGATCGAAATACCTTTATAGGCAAACACAAAGTTTGTGCTCACCATTGGTCGTACTTGCAGAGATTTATACAATAGGCTGGTGTTTTGTGTGTGGATTGTTTAGTCACTTTCTAGCTTGGAAGCTGAGGGGCTCTTTTCAGACACGTAAATCGTTTATTATCTTGCAACTTATTGTTGAGTCAATTCTATATTGAAAAAGGGCAGTGGGGCTTTTTGTGGTGCTCGAGGGTATTGAAACCATCACAACAAGGACTCTCCTTAGACCTTTGACTTATAGTATCTAACAGTGAAGTCAGAGCGTACTATTTAGAAGGCAGCAGTAAATATCTTACTGATAATTTACTGTTTGAAAAGTACCTCCGAATACTGCAGATGAACAAGATGAAATCGGGAGCGAGCGTAGAGCCGTCAATTTCCGACAACGAACCACATAGGAGTTACAGCGCGTGGCGAACCCCGACACAGCTATCGGAATGCTTCATTTACATTTCCCCTATGTGCTACCAATATAAGCTACTACATAGCCTTTCCCATTCCAATTAGACGAATGTCAAGGGGATCCTCAAGTAATCACTGAGAAGGGAATATGAGAAATCATCAGGTCATTCCTCGCCTACCACAATCAAAAACCCTTCATTATTTACATTATGGACCCCTCCAATTCTTTAATCGACATACTTTATGATTAACGGTACGACGACGATACCTTAACGTCTTTGATCGAACGATGTGTGATGGCTGCGTAGACAACACATCCGACTATCAATAAGGGGTTAATCTCGGTGTACTGTGGTCGAAATGCCAGAAGTCCACTGCCCTTGCCAACGAAATATGGCCAAGACGCTGTGGCTGATGTCATGTAGAAATATCTCCAACGATCGAAGTAATGAACATGCATATCGGGGAGGCAAATATGCCCACGAAGCTTATTCCTGGACCGGATACGGACCGATACCTACATAGAGCACTCGAACTTAGTAGACTGTAGCCTGGTGAATCTTGAGTTGTCTAACAACAGGTTGACGGTAAGGGTTTCAGAAAGTGCTCGTATGCTTCAAACAATATCTAGAACAAGACGCAGCCGCATGGTGGACGACCCAATCACTTCAAACAAGGGTTCGCGAAAGGGTCTAAGATATGATAGTAATAGAACATATCCCATCCTTTCCTTGCTTCTTTGTCAGCATTTGCGCCAACCTTTTCTGTTCATATTGGGGAAGACAGAATGTAGACACCCACCGATTGAACGCTTCCGTTCAACTGGTTTCCACACTGCCAAATGGCCTGTCAATACATTGGAGGAGTTCATCCCTGATGCAATCCTCCTTTAACATTTGAGGAGTTCATCCCTGATGCAATCCTCCTTTAACATTTGTGGGATCTTTGTGCTTCCCGTCAGTCATGTATGATGAGATAGTCTCATTATCGTTACATTTTGTTACATATACGTTCAAGCTGTAATAAACATAAGCTTATTTTCCGTCAACGAGGTCGGAACTTCTCACACAAACACCAATAAGACCACTTTTTAGATTGTGGAAAATCTCAGTCTGCTACATCAAGCGATATAAACGATTCTTCTAAAATACGTGCAGAGGTGGCAGTCTCACAGAACCCGCAATTCGGACTTTTGAGATTTCTAAAGGGAGATGATAAGGATATAAGAACCCTGAGTGCCGCTTGATATATCCTCGATTTTGCGATTTCTCAGTATTCAGTCTGGTAGGGTACTGTAAGGGCGGTGCCTTTTCCCATAAAACAAGGTATTGACACTCATGTATGCGCAAACTAGACAAACCAAACTCCTATTATCACGATGGAAGAATCCACATATCCAAGTCCCATTCCGAAACGCTCCACCTTCCAATTTCCCTGGTCAGCGGAACAGGCGAATTCTCAAGTTCAACCAGTTGAGAATAGCGAGAATCAAGACTACCAGCCAGACCCGATTGTCCCACCCGAGGACCAGTCCGGAGACGACAACGAAAACAGAGCAACGGCTTGGAAGTCATTTTCGAAAGACGGAAATGCAGGAAATGTGACAATGCGACTTCTTCGAGACAGCTGGAGTTTATTCAAAGATCTCCGCCTTGAGCATTGGGTCGAGCATGTGTTAGGAATGCCCTCAGCTGCCATAAGTCTTTTTGAATCTTATCACCACAGGCTTGGCTTTTCATTGTTCTGCTTTCTGTGTCAAGCTCCAGAAGAACTGGAGAAGTACCACGGTGTGGCAAAGGTTTGTTACTCTGTTAAGAACCATTTGTGGCTTCCGTTAAAACGTATATATCAACAGAAAGTTCAACCTACCGATCGTTTCTTATATGATACAATCACGCATGCCGTCAAATCATTCGAGAATAACCAAATCTACAGCCCACTGAGTCTGGATGCCTCCCTGATTACTAGTCCCTTGAAAGCTATCCTTTCTCAGCCGGATAAAAATATACTCCGGCGACTGGTTGTCCTTGGAAATCGGTACAAGCGTTATCGAAGATGTTCGGGTCTAGCGCAGGGCCGGGAGTTTCAGACAAATACAGCATTTCTCGAGATACTAAGAGAGAAGGCTGTTCCAGGAATCGCTTGGGAGATTAGTAGGGATACATTCGATGATTTTCGCAAAATCAGCCTACACAGTATACGCGATTATGATCTCCACATCCGACGCTTGGCTTTGCGATGGGACAACTTATACTATGATGTGGATGATGTTGCAGCTACCGGAGAATTCGATGGTACCTTAATGGGGTTAGCGAAGGTATACAAGGTGTTCCTTTTCATATGTTCTGACTAACCCAGGTAGGAGTTTTACCATCTACGAAATTTCTTTTCGCTTTCTGCTGTTCTAGCGGGAATGTCAGAAGCAGGGATCGAGATACACCCAGCCCTTGCTGAGTTTGTTGATGCCACAGGAAACTATCGTCGATACAGGCTCAAATTACACATGGAGCCTTCTCTTCCATTTTTATACCCGTTTATCAGAGAACTGAGGAGAGGGAACGAGAACGCTTTGAGAGGCATCTTTAGTTTCATTCACTATGGCCAGCATCTTCAACATCTTGAAAAGAAGGGGTAACGGACAGGACACAGCACAATTGTGATGTGGAAATATCCGTGTCAAACACCGTATCTGTTCTTTCTATACAATTCAATCAAGATTTGACATCTTACACTAGAATTTATGAAGTTTCGAAAAAGCTTAGAGCGCTTCTTATGGGAGAATTATTGATCCAGCTTATAAAACCAGCTAGGAAATGTTGTTGTTTCTATTCGAACTTGACGTGGTCGGCAATCGAAGGGTTTCATGCGGCCCTGGGTATCTATTTCGAGTATATTTCGAGGTAAAATTTCAGGAGAAGCCCGAAAATATCTGTTTCTCGTTGCAGTTCCCCATATTGCCCCATATTTTCGGAATGATAGCTTGCTGTAAGATGATCATTGTTGTTAGTTCTTCTCGTGAAATGCCAAGACCCGCATGACCAAATTTGAGGGCCGGGAACTATAAACATACCCAACTCGGGTTTTTGGAGATGGCATGATAATAGACTAGAATACCATCTAATGCTGATGGCTAAGCGGAGTCTGAACTACGATAGGTCGAATTCATTTGCCATCCCACCCATCACTGCTTCACTCGAATATCTTACCATTTAAACATGAGATCCCTCAGTTACGTGTAACCAAATTGAGCCCCGTCATATTGACTCTCTGGGATATGTAGGACCTGCCGACATATACTTTCGTTGAGTTCTCTACGCAAAAGAAAGTATCCTCCTAGACTAAGGCCGTGAAAGAGACAGCTTGCAAAGATCCTCTCAATGAAAGAGGATAGTAAGTCATACCCCTTTCGGAATACCAACAGCGAAACTCCCACCTTTTGTCTGGTGCTTATACTATTCCCCTAGGTTTAAAGGCTTGGCCCTGTAATGGAATTCATTAGTCCCCTTCTCCCACGCAGAGAAGAGTACCCCGATCCTCATGCACCAGATGTTTTTGCGCAAGCAACTTATCTAACGGCAATTCTTCATCACTTATGGGAGTCATATGTTTCAAGCTTCACAGAGTGTCAACTACTTCGCGAGGCCTTTCAGCAACTCCAAATTATCAACATTCGGCTCTGTCAAGATCTGGAATACCTACGATGTCGCCAGACGGATCATGAATTACTTCGGGCATTCTCTATAGATCGATTTCAGACATCCAAGAGAAGACTGACGGATCTTCTTAAAAGATGCGAAGGTTGTTTGTGAACCGTCGAAACGTTGGTTGTATAGATAACAAGCAGGGGATTGGGGAAGTCCGATAATGATTTAGTGAAATTTCAATTTTCGCTCAGAGCCAAAGATTAGAGATAATCCAGGGCTCGTCTTTACTAGCGCTTTCAGGTGCTGGAACCCGGCATCTGAGTGTGGAAACCTTTAAGAGGTAAAGTTAGGTAGCATAGCATTAGCAAAGTATCAATAATCGTTGGACTTCGATCCGGTAGGATTGGGAATGCAGAATGACCGAATATCCCACGCACCATTTGTTGGATCAATAAGCTGTACTGTGCTATTGTTGGGGTCCATTTCTTGGTATACCCAGTTGAGACTACCTGAGATAATACGAGGTTATTTAAGAGCCAAGTGTTATGACTAGGAATGGTTTTTGCACCCTCATTTACGAAGACCCAAGCTGGTTGAATCTCTTATTGTGTATTGTAGTGGGGGAATTGCTGACAGCATGAAGCCACGTGAAGTAGCGGTGTATCAGGACTATGTGATATATATGACTTCCCTGTTCGCAAGATGGCAATTCAGACACACTTCTCTTCTTCTACCACCTCTACGTGCTCTCCTCTCTTACATCTCCTACTACCCCTTGTGGCCAGGACCTGGTTCGCAGACAGGGAATGGTCGGGTTTCCCTTACGGGTTCCCCTCTTCAGTATGTAATTTTCTGCGGTCCCTCGAAACGGATGGAAAAAACAAGGACGCTGAATAAATTGCTACTCTACAACGAAGGTAATCGGTACAATTCTTTGCTTGCAGGTATTTCTTTAGCCAGCTCTTCCGAATTCGAATAACTTCTTGGGCAGTCGGCCGCTACCTCGGGGGCGGCCCGCCAAATGATAGTTACCTTGATTCGAACGTAAGTCCGTAGTCAATAGGTGCGGAATTTGGATTTGAAGAAGTTAAGGAATGTAATACCTGAAGCCTTTTAGAGTTCTTCTTCACTAACAGACATACAGGAATGCAGTAGCCGAAGCTTTTCGCTCTCTAACCATTCCATATCAATTGATCGTTCTTCATTCGATATTCTGATCCTCTTTCCGCTACCCGTTGAACTTTGGTTGTATTCTCCGAGGTAAGAAGCCCATAGCATTACGTCAGGGTGCCTGTCATAATGCCGGTAGCAATCATCCGATGATAATCCTCTGGTCGGGTAATCTGGATGCGAAATGTGGAATCTGTGAGTATCTAGGCCCTCGAAGAAGTTTTTTAAAACTTCTATTGTGTTTGGCAACAAAAGCACCTCCTGGGTCTTTCCGACATTAATCAAAATCCGGAAGGCCGGAGTTACTGTTTGTCTACCCCATTGATTTTCCTCTTGGGGGGATCTATATCGCCTTGCTGGCCCCAAGCAGCTGGCTCAGGAACGCTGTGGGGTACAATAGGGTCTACCGCATGTGACCCATATGTAGATCCAGTACCTCTGAGTGAGGTATTCTGTCTCGTATCTGCTTCCATTGCGGACTCGATATCTGCAAGGAGGATATCGATCTCATCTGGGGGTGACTCGGCCACAGCGGGAGGTGGTGATGGAACTGGACTGTCTGGTATTCCGGAATCGAAGTACTCAAAGAAGGCGTGAAAAACAGAACGCCGCACGAAGCCCGCGCTGACTCGATCATAGTTACAAGTGCTCTGTAATGACCATCTTGAGAGAGCAAAACGGTCCGCGTTTACCGAGTCTGTGAATGGCTTTCCGCTTCGCCTCTCCAAACTGACATCTTTATCACCTTCATTGTCAGGTGGAAAATCACTTGGTATCACACGCGGAAGTTCGATATATTGTAGTTGACTTTCATCGGCCGGAACTTTGAACCCGCGTTGATGCGCTAACCAGAGAAAGTGGTGCTCTAGGACCTGTAGGTCGAAGTTATCTGGCCGCTCGTGCAGACCGAGTCTATTGGCACGCTCAGTGTCGACGCGTTTTCGTGGTTCACGGCGACGGTGCTCCTTGATTGTCGTCATCTCAAAAGCGTACTGAAAACTGAAACGCCATAAGTCGCAAAGGTCCCTTTTCAACCATCTTTCTTGGTCCGAGGCTGAAACTATACCGCCTTCCGAGAGGTTATTATATTGGCTTCGCAAGATCTTATCAATGGTAGGAGTTGTTTTCTCCCTCTCGTTTCGGCCACTCATCTTCCGCTTATGTTTCCTTTCGGGCTGGTTGATGAATAACCTTCGCATGGCCCTTTGGCACACGTCGAGATATAATACGTCCTGGAAAAAAGTCTCAAGGGTAAAAATTGGGAACGCGATGTCACACAGACGATTAAAAATCTGATAGCGATCCTGAGGGTCCACGATTGCCGGAAATAGGTGTATCTTTTCCATCCCCTTTTCCAAATATTTAAGATCCACTTCGGAGACTTTCGGTGCCCGTGATTTGATCTTCTTGATGGTTTTTGCATCAATAGCAGCCAGAATATCTTGATCTCCACCTGCCAGACCATAGAAAGTATCCTTGATCTTTCTCAGATAACAGATAATTGGCTAAGTTTTATCAGAGTTAGCTGTCGGACCATGACGTAGATTTGCGTGTCGAAATTTTGTAAGATTACCTCCTCGGTTTTCATCGCCATCAACTTATGCAATACACCAATATTCATACCATCCCAAAGACCATTAATGGGAAGAAGATCATCGAAAGTTTCGCGTAAATTCTCATTGTCAAGTAGTGATCGTAGATAGGCCCCTTTCTTACTCCGGCCCCCTTTCTTGCTTCCCGGGGAGCTTTCCAAGACAGCCCACCAGTAATTTTCGGCAACCGTATTAGCTGTCCCTACGTTGGGATAGCCTTGGTAATAGCGGATTTTTCGATAAATTCGACCGTCCGGGGGAAATGGTCGTTTGAATAGCTCTCTTGTAGGCTGCGAATAAGCTCTTCTCGTTGGTCACCTCGAAACTAGTCAGCATACAGAAAGATTCGACCGAACTCTGAATTGTAATTCAGGCGGTAATCAACACTATGTAGCCCACTTACAGGCCTCACTAGCGTTCGTAACGTAGATATCGACAACGCACCAGGGGTCTGCAACGTCCAACTCCTTGAATCTCTTTTCAGCTGCAGCAATGACATCTTCGTGATCTAATACAAAGAAGCGATAACCGTGGTCTACCTTCAATTGGGGTAGCGGTGCTTCTGGTGCTAATGTCGCCGGCTCTTCCCATTTTACTCGTTCCTGCCAATCAGACGTGTCGACCATGACGGGTATGTGGTATTTCTCCTGGAGACGAAGGAATCCTTGATAATCAAAGACTTTCTCAAGGCGGTCGACGTTTCGATGATTATTAGTAGCTCGACTAAAGTCTGTATCACACTTCAAGTCGCGAAGTCGAACTACGGCCGCACCTTGGGAGCAAGATTTCCGATAGACTGCGAGTTCGCACTCATTCTTTTCGATTTCGCGCTGCCTTTCCAAATTACTTCTTATCCGTTCTGAGATCCGGGATCTTCTGGGAGTGGACGGCATGTTTCTCTTTCTTGCTGTTTTTATCGAAGGAAGAAATGGCCACTTGCTCGGGAGAGGAAAGACTTACTCTGGCGTCTTAGACTTTATACCAAATCCATGGGCATGAGGTGGGATGGCGATTCATATTCGCAATACTTGGACATGGACGCAAAAAAGTTTTTCAAAACAAAAGCCTTCCTCATTTATCAGGTGAGTTGCACTGTTTGGATTATGTTTACGTTTTTGAATAACGCTAAGCGCCATTAGTTTTATTTGTGAGGAGCATGTAGAGAATGATCTGCCTCAGTTTCTTAATACAGTATCTCCAAGTTTCCTGTGGTTGAGCTGCCCACAGCAATGTGACTGGTAGTATGGCGTAGCCTGGACGGATACGAGTTTGTGCTCGCCGATACTGTAGCGCATCGTTTTCACTCACATGGACGGACCCCAATGAAGTAGCCATTTTCACTGGTACAGATAGAATTACAGCTGGACTTAGGGCTTTGGCGTTATTGGACGATGACCAACATCTAAAGGTGTAAGGCGATTAGAAAGCTGAGACCAGTAATGTACCTATGGCAGTCCTAATAAATTGTACCGTTCTAGCTTTCCTTTGTTGCTTTTTTGTTTGTTTATCGATTCCGGGACAGCAGGAGTCCAATAATTTGTTCAATTCTTTGTAGTGCTGACCTGGCAACCGTCTGTAAGTCGGTCAGCCGACTAACTGCATCACAATAACCTTGTATACAGTATTCCTGTGCGAATGAAGGTCATTGATGACTCTATCTACTTATGTATTATTCTAAATTCAAAAGTCAATTTTCTACTACTGCATTCATGCCAAAATATGACGTCGACAGTATTTCAGTAATTCTAGATAACACAATTGGAGCACTAGTATTTACCTAATTTTTATCCTTTCCCAGTCGATCAGCTCGCTAGTTTCTTGAATTGAGACGAATTAGGCAAAAAGGGAGATTGACATTCATCACCTCCTCTACCAGAACTTAAAAGCAGCAGCAAAACATTCCGATCGTCCATATGAGAGAAGAGCTAACAGAAAATACCACAGCGAGCCATGTTGCGATGAGTGTCTGGACACCAAGGCTAGCATGCGCACCTAGTGGCCGCAGGACAGCCTGGATACTACCAGTAATCAAGCCATATATCACTGTCGCGCTGGTGGAGGCTCCAATAATAAAAATCGAAGCTAGCTTTATCATATTCAGCACAAAGTATAGGAATGCGATTATACCCGAACTTACAACGGAAGAGGCGACGAGAAATATTCTCCCTTTGGAAATTGTCGTCAAGAGAACTTGGAAAATCAAGGCGACCAAAGTGAAAATGAAACCTGTGATATATGCTGAGATTGTCCATTGCGAAACTTTGCGGTAACCGGCAAGTACTTTGTTATCGTCTTCCGGAAGAATTTTGCTGACCTCCTCGGAAGCCGACCCAAATATCCCGAGCAGATTGAAAGAAAAGGATGTACTTGGTTTGGAGCAGTTTGAGAAAGGCCCCGTGCTATGGTTTCCCTGACAATATCCCCAGAGGCCGACAGCGTAATATGCAGGAAGATGCAATTTGAGACTTTCAGATAATGTCTGAAGGTGGTCGCTGGCCTCATCGGCTGTAGTTTGCGCTACAGTAGAGGCTTGGGCTATTTCGTTGGCAGTAATTTTTGTAGCACTGTTGGCAGCATTGGAGGCTGCACTTGTAACACTGGAAGTATCCACACTGGCAATACTAATCCCTCGCCGTAGATGAAGATTGCCGAGCTCCGGAAAATTGGTTAGGTTTACCTAAAGCTCTGATTTAAGCCAGCTGCCAGCCAAGTGGCTCCTGAACTCACCTTCATAAAATAATAGTCCGACGGGGAAGACGGTGAGGTGCATCCAGCAAACACTATAGCAAGACAGATCAAGCCAGCGGCTGAAAGGGCCAGAGGGCAAAGCTTCCCCAGTAGCTTTAACGTCCGCCAAAGCATATCTTGTATTGTTGTGTACGGGAATCGTTGGCTCTAAAGCATATAACGTAGAATAGGATCTTGCCGGACAAGAGGGAGTTGTTGGGCTTTTATGGGAACTATTTCACGGATCTGGTCTGGAATTGGATGTAGTCCTCCGAAAAGTAATGCAATAAGGTCCCGAGAGCCATCGATTGACCGATGGTTTTTTGTTGACATCAACTTTCTGCACGTTAATGACGTTACATTGGCCTCGGAATTGGGGGTGGCCAACGGCTGTATGGAGGTACCGCAATGCAGGCGTGGATATGGTTTAATGTTCCCACACGTTATTTTCATTCGTACCCACGTCTTATCTTTGCGTGTCGTTCAGTAGCCCCCCGTCTTGTTCTTATTTTAAGTCATCGCTGGTAGTTGATACGATGTTAAAATCCGACGAAAACATCTAGCATAGTCAATCTAATTTATTAATTTGGTGAGTGACGTAAGACGCCAGAGCAAAAGTGACAATATGTGGTGGTAAAGGCCCCGCGTGATTGAGATAAATTGCGCTATTGGTCATACGAGAAAGTTATGTATCTCGTATTACGAAGCATAAAAGGTCCTCACTTGCAAACATACGAAATACCAGATGCGGACGCGATCTAGGTGAGGTGGCCATGTTCTGTACACTTCATGGCATTTACAGTAACTACTTATTTTGTGATACTTAACCCCATGGTTTTCCGAGGGCTCTGTCTCTCCGAGCGTCTTTGCCGATAAGATAAGTGGCTAGCTCTTCCAGGCAACCTGTAGAATGACGAATTACTTACTGTTCCCTCTGCCAGGAACCGGCCTCGACCCTCAGGGCTGGTGCAACAATTGCCACTATTTCGCGTAAACATAGAGATGCAGAAACGGCGGTAACAGAATATCCTAGTTTTTCATAGGGTAAGTTGGAGAAAGCCATGTGAGAGCTTAGCTTCGTTGAACAACGCGATGTAAGTACCACATCTATCATTTGATGAATATATTACCGACATTATCAAAGAAATCATGGGACTGTGAGTTCGTAAACGGAGTTGCGCATACAGTATCAACGCAAACAAAGCAAATATCCTGGATCTTTTCACCGTCAAGAATCCTGCGCGCGCCTAACCAACCAAAATCACTCAATAACCATATTTCTATGCAACGAGGTATGTGAAATGCCCTTTTAGAAACCCGAGTTTATGCTATTCAAAGATCACACATCCAGGACGCCCGTTGACACCAGATGTAAGAACCTCATAGCCAGCCACACAGCTTTGACAGAAATGTCATTTGGCAGATCATCATACATACGGGTGTGGATCCATTGTCAACAGGTCAACACGAACCACGATAGCTGACGCGCCATACCAGCTGAGGGTTAGTGGTATAGACTCGTACTAATGTCTACCATGTTCCAGTGGTGCCGAAATTAGGAGTCAAACATGATCAACTCAAGGTTACCCTCTGGTTAGCTGTCTCGATATCCTAGTTATGATACATGTAGCTACCATGGCAATAGAAATAACAAACCTTCGCAACGATTAGTGACACTATATTTAACAAATTCCATGCTTAGGATCTTAAGGTATCCATGTTTTCAAAGCTAGTTCACTTTCTAATTCACTTCATATGTGAGCTGCCGCTTCTTTGTGCAGCCCCTGAAGCGAGTCGAGTTATTTTCAACCAACCCACTTCATGGAAAAAAACTTCGATACATCAATACATTGATTTAGAACCAAATCCAAAATACAAATCCATGAAACCAACTCCAACATAGCTCGGGAACGATGAGATGTGCGCAGTAACTAACAAAGGATCCTTTTCAATTCTAAAGTTGTCGGCTAGTGCAATCGGTAGATCGGACGTTCTCCCACGCTATACGGGCCTTGTCTTCTTGCTTTGACAACCTTTCTACCGAGCTTCGTAGCTCTATGGCAATATGGTGGATAGGCAAAAAGTCATTAGAGGGATATAGTGTTTCGTATTGTTGGAGGCAAAGCAGGTCGTCAGATGCTTGAGCCACGAGGTCTTGTAACTGCTTGAGAAATCCGTAACAGGTACGGTAGTATAAATTCTCGGTCTGCTGCCGGCCGATTTCGCGAACAATGTCGGCAATCTCTTCCATCGTGGAGCCCATATCCACAGGGGTTCATAAGCCGGATAATGTGGTAAGAATCAGCCTGAAGTGAGTCTTTCTACGTACTATAGCTACTTTATAAATCTACACTGGTTAAAGACAAAGCGCTATTGAATAAACGGCCGCCCTTCCTCTCCTGTAGCCTTACCCACCCCTCACATATTGCGTGTCAGTGGAAGAACAACACAACAGCAACTTTCGGATTCGACTTCATATACAAACTAGCTTAATCGAACGCGGGAAGTAATACGCTGATTTGCCTGCCAATAGTACAGTCCAAGCAGGGTTTCGCTTGCGAAAGCAAAATCCAACGCTCCACTAGACGTCAAATACTTCGCTCTCCATGGCCTCTCTCCGGCGTAAGGACAATGGTCAAGTGTCCTTTACTGACTGGTCATAATTTGTTTATTATCCGTTGCGTGAAGCATTCTAGGTAACAAAGAGCAATCGCAAGACTGCCAGTATTGAAGGAAGGCTGGATTACGTTAAAGATCTTAACCACGGCCGTCTCTAAAAGATGGAATTACATAACGCTCCTAACCTGGCTATCCTTAAATTCCAGACCCTAGTGTCGATTTAATTCAAACGGATTATTCAGGATTTTCTCTTTCCGTTAGCCTCTGGATATTGAACAATTAAGCACTTTAACCGTCGTTTGAAACTCAATGGAATATTCAATAAGTCAACCTTTGCTGAATTGAACTTTAAGCATGACAAGCTCCTCAGATATCTTTCCGTTGAAATGTTGGCCCAGACCGTCAAAACCAGGTTATACGGATGGTTGTAAAGTAAATCTGCTCTGAATATATACTGAATGCTCGTGACAGAAGATCTATACGGTACGTCCTTCTCTGTTTATTACGTCTTTAATTGGACATTGATATGGTCTCCATTATGCCAGCCTCCCCCTTCGTTTCGCTTCATCTAGAGAACATATGGTTGTTGTACTGAGCTCTTCTCAGACATAAATAAATTAGGTTCCTGTCTAAGCATTGCAAGAAAAAGAAGCCACTTTTTATCCCATTAACGATCCACTGCGTTACCACCGGGAGCATGCTCGACACTTTACCTTGCGAAATCATATTGGATGTCGCAGAACGGGTGCGTCATTTTATGCGTACTTGTCTTTCGTTTCTAACAACCCCTTAGCTGCCCACTGAGGATCGTCGCTCTTTGGGCCAGGTTTGTTCAAGGGTTAATGCTGCTTTGATCCCCCTAATATATCGCACCGTCACGTTTCGTGCTGCGAGTGAGTGGGCCCTCAATGTGCTCGATATAGATGCATTCTTTTCAAACCAGTCACATTTACAGCCATTTAGCTACCTCAAGCATGCCCGGCACCTGAGCATTCAGGCTCAAATACATATTGCCCGGTTCAATCGCTGTGCGCACTATAGTATTTTCCGCACATCGGGGCTGACACATACCCCATCTACCCTGGGCACTTCCGATGAGGCAAAGGCGCATCAGCAGTTTTTAGATGACATCTCTGACCAAATGCAAATGGTCTTCGCATGTCTCAAAGGAAATAGCCTCCTTTCATTCCAGTGAGTCTATCGGTTAGCAACTGCTAGTCCGCTGTCCTACCTCATATTCACTTACTTTCATTAGGTGGGGTCTTGGCACATGCCTTTCACCAGGTATCCTGGACAAAAACGGATACCTATGCCGGCATCAGAGGAGCCTCAATAGGCTTTCGCTCATCACGGATGGCTCTTGCCCCGAGGCAGGAGGTGCGCTGGATGGTCTTTCCGAGTTTTCGTCTTTGAAAACCATAGAGTGGGAAGGTATTCAGCAACCGGCTGAGGTCAATTCTTTGCAACAATGCATTCGCCGAAATTCTGCACACTTGACAACTCTTTCAATTGGGCTTGTCAGCTCTGCTGATGCCCCGAACCTCGTTGAGGATATTTTCGGGCAGCCCTCTGGGGTATTCCATTCAAGCGCTCTCCCTTCACTCTTATCCCTAACGCTGTGTAAAGTTCCCTTTTCACAAACCCTTAAGCTCGGGCCGGCGTGGAGATTTGGATCCCTTCGAGCTTTGTCTATGCGAGATTGCCCCAATCAGCTACGGTTCTTGAGGTCCTTGTCACGCTCAAAAGACACGCTACAACTAAAGCTTTTCGAATTCGTCTGCGACAACTTACTAGACGGTTTTGGCCAAGATCTGACTCCAGCATTAACATTTCTGGTCTCATTCAAAGGATTGAGACATTTGTATCTGAAACTGTCCAACTTTGAGGAATCCCCTCGTATTGAATCAGTCATCAAACATCACCAATATACGCTTGAGAGTCTTTCTTACCATGAACGTCGACTTGTTCCACTTGATGATGAAGGCCTGTTCGAAGAAGAGCGGGATGTGTCACCCCAATGGCTTGAAGGCCAGTTTGATGCCTTCATTCTCTCTAGAATAACTGCTCTTGGTATTTGTGCAAGTCCATCTACCGTGGTAAGTCGTGAGAATTGGATGCAAAATTAAGTCTTGCTGACCTTGACAGAGACTTTGTCTTGAACCCTTGGCCACGCGTTCCGCTATTGAAATCTTGCATATCCGGTTTACTGGGTCAGAGAGGTTTCATAGGGATATTCCACTCGAAATCACAACACGGCTGCGGACAAAGCTATCCAGAGATACGTGCCAACACTATAACATTGAAAGTCCTAGGCAAGAACCTTACACCAATAGCTGGAGCGATCTGGCGAGTATAGTCAATGATGAATTGGCCGTCTGGGAAATGAATGAGTCAGGCAGTGTGGAAAAGACCCTTTCAGCATCTGCTGAAGCGGAGGAGTTCGTGGAATTTGCCGAATGGGTGTTCGGTCCGACTGGTCTTCCTAAGCTACAAGTTCTGGCCTTCGGTGACTTTTCCCACAATGACCGGTTCCAAAAACAACAATTTCTGACTAGGAGAAACCACGAGGACGAGCAACAATACAAAAATCACCAGCATCCCAGTTGTAACCATGAACCTAATTTGAGTCGATCTTTCTGTGCTGCCAGTTCAGCCGATACTTCCGTCTGGGAAAACCTTCGGATTGATGGAGCTCGGTTCCTTTCTACTTGTCCAGCCAGTGGATTGATTGAATCTCCCTTTGAACTGTAGACAGCTACTTTCATCATTTAACTCAATGAATTTTCCTTGGCGTTACCTCCGCCTTCTTTCTTTTGACCTGCAAATGGAATAGCATCTGTTGAAGTCGCTGGCCGTAGAGGGATATGAATTGTTGCGGTACCCTGCATATCTCTTTTCATCGCGAGGGGTCAGGGTAAATGATGCACACACACCCTGCACCCTACCTTGACATGTATTATTTGTAGTAAGCTAATACAGTAGTAATCAACGGCATCAATGCTGCATGGGTCATGTCTAGATTTAACTCCCTTCAGAAAATCTCCGACCATGTACAATGCTGGTTGGGCTTCTGATCTAGCCCGGCGTCTTCTTGACCTGGGGTGAACGATGCGTTGTGAAGTTAGTCCGGTAGAAATTTGCGGCCGAAGGCAATTACTGCTGACTTGCGAAGGGGTGGGTCGAAATAAAATTCACCCTTTTGTCCATACAGTAACTCGGTGCAAACAAGCAAAACAGACAGAGCACAGAGTACAACTAATACCATTATAGTGCCTTGCTGGTCAAGTGTGTTGCATGAACCTTTCAGGTTTCAGCTGGCGATATGAATGGCGCCAGCTGTAAAGGAAATACGTTTTGACTGCCGTTAGGATACAATTGTTACCATCATATTTATTAAATCTATCTACCGAGTAAGTGCCTCACTACCGCCTCATTATCCTTCTGCGTGGCGCAATTCTCGACGTCATAATAAGTCCACATCCACCTGGTCATTTTCAAGTAAAAGCTGTACCGCCTCCTTATAACGCCTCGCCATGGCCCAGTATAATGGTGTTCGACCCTCATAGTCCATTGAGTTCACATTCACCTTCCCAGTATCAAGCAATTGCCGCATCACGGCTTCATGGCCATTCAGTGCGGCCCAGGACAATGGTGTCCGGCCCCCTTTGTCCTTTGGGTCAACCTCCACCTTCCCAGTCTCGAGTAACAACTGCACCACTGCCTCATGACCGCTTCCCGCAGCCCCGCATAATGGTGTTCGACCCCCGTTGTCCTTCAAGTCCACATCTATCTCTCCAGCCTCGAGTAACAAATTCACCACCTCCTCGTAGCCCTCCAGAGAGGCCCAAAATAATGGTGTTCGGTCACCCCTGTCCATTGAGTTTACATCTACCTTCCCAGTAGCAAGCAATAGCCGCACCACAGCCTCACGGCCATTTCGTGCGGCCAAGGATAGTGGTGTTTGATCACCACAGTCCATTGAGTTCACATCCACCTTCCCAGTATCAAGCAATAGCCGCACCACAGCCTCATGGCCATTTCGTGCGGCCCAAGAGAATGGTGTCGGGCTCCGTTTGTCCTTTGGGTCAACCTCCACCTGTTCAGTCTCAAGTAACAGCTTCACTACAGCCTCTCGGCCATTTTCCGCGGCCTGAGATAAGGGTGTTCGGCCTTTTGAGTCCTTTGAATCCACATTCACCTTCCCAGTCTCGAGTAACAACTGCACCGTCGCCTCATGACCGCCTAGCGCAGCCCCACATAATGGTGTTCGACCTTCGTTGTCCTTCACGTCCACATCTACTTCTCCAGTCTCGAGTAACAAATTCACCACATCCTCGTCGCCCTCCAGAGAGGCCCAAAATAATGGCGTCCAGCCACTGGAGTCCTTCGAGTCAACCTCCACCTGTCCAGTCTCAAATAGCAGCCTCACAACAGCCTCACGGCCATTTCCCGCGGCCCAGGATAAGGGTGTTCGGCCTTTTGAGTCCTTTGAATCCACATTCACCTTCCCAGTTTCGAGTAACAACTGCACCGTCGCCTCATGACCGCTTCCCGCAGCCCCGCATAATGGTGTTCGGCCCCCGTTGTCCTTCAAGTCCACATCTATCTCTCCAGCCTCGAGTAACAAATTCACCACCTCCTCGTAGCCCTCCAGAGAGGCCCAAAATAATGGTGTTCGATCACCACAGTCCATTGAGTTCACATCCACCTTCCCAGTATCAAGCAATAGCCGCACCACAGCCTCATGGCCATTTCGTGCGGCCCAGGATAATGGTGTCTGGCTCCATTTGTCCTTTGAGTCAACCTCTACCTATTCAGTCTCAAGTAACAGCTTCACTACAGCGTCGTGGCCATTTTCCGCGGCCAAGGATAATGGTGTCTGGCTCCATTCGTCCTTTTGGTCAACCTCCACCTGTCGAGTCCCGAGTAAAAGCTCCACCACCTCCTTATGACGACTTGCCGGGCCACAGTATAATGGTGTTTGACCCTCATAGTCCTTTGAGTTCGCATCCACCTTCCCAGTATCAAGCAGAAGCTGCACCACGGCCTCATGGCCATTTTGCGCGGCCCAGGATATTGGTCCCCGGCCGCAGCGATCCGTCAATCCAATTTCAGCCCCTGCTTGTATTGACATTCGAGCTGTACGTTCACTCCCTTGTATGGCAGCCCACATCAGTGCCCGGCCTGAATTTCGAGAGTTTATGTGATAGAGATATGGAATAAGGAGCATGTAGAGTTGCCTGTTTGTTTGACATAATGAGTAGATATCTCTTTCTGCCTCCAGGAAGGTACCTATTATTAGGACTAATTCCGGGGGCAAATGGTGGAGAAACATGGTACGGTGACTATGAGATGAATAAGCCAAACCGAACGGAAAATCAAACCAAATCGTACAATAGTCAACGAAGACGTACTTAGGATTGAGTTTGTGGGAGGCACTGGTACCTTCGAGGGATTTCAGATGGTGCGCCCCAGAATACTGCGCTGAGGGGAATGAGAGCAAATAAATAAGCGACTTATATCGCTCGCATGTTTTCACTTGACTTGTGGAAAAAAAGATGATAGTTACATCTATCCGTGAGGATCAAGGCCTTAGTGTTGATGTGCCAGCATGTCCTGGGAGTGAGGGGTATCTCAGTCGGGTTATAATCTGATTGCTGCCTCCGAGCTTAGTCAGCAGCGAAATATTTCGGAGCTCCTAGGAACAGCTAAGAGTCACGTATCGATTTTGGCCGACATTGATTGCTGTCTCCATATCTCAATGGAGAGATTTGAAATACCTACCTACTTGTAGAGCCATCAGCCCCGCTTATTGTTGATGTAGTCGGCATCACTGACTGTCATGGACCCCATGCATATAAACTGCTCATCCTGATCAAATTTGGTCATCAGATATTTATTATCAACTCGTTCTATCATCATGTCTTTGAATTATTCAAACCCCTACGTGTGTTTCTAGTGATGGCTACGCGATGCTCCTCTAGAACTCATGTCTATGACACGGGGCGCCCCCTTTTGTTCAACAAGTAATCTTCCAATAAGCGCCAAGAAGGATCTTCAATCCGGATCTACCAAGACTAACCGGCTTAAGCTCGGGAGTCTTAATGCCAGTACTGTAGAGGAGGAAAGCCCTATATGGCTTCATGAGCCCCGAAGATTGTAGCTCTTCACCTTTCAATCCAACAGAGTCTCGAGGAGCGGCTCACAACATTACACCGATACGAAGCTGAAACATTGCTCAGCGCCTCTTCAGAAAAAGTCTCGGAACTGATCGAGTTATAGCGATATGTATTTCCGACTGTTGTTCACGGTGCTTTTTGCGTTGCTTTTGAGTCTTCATGCCATATCTGCGACAATAAGGGTGAGATCTATGCAAGACCCCGAGACCGGCGCCACCCTCGAAACTACAACTCAGACGGAGACTTCATCATCATCATCATCAAACGACCCTTCAGCTAAATTCGCTGCCCTCCGCTCCAGATCCGATCGCAACAATGACTTTGATAAACCGTACGATACTGATTTGGACGCTTCAAGAATCGACTGGGGAGAAGATGAGTCCCTCAGACTCGAATCAATGCGCGAGGCTGGATTTGTTCCAAGCTCCTTTGAAGAAGACGAGTGAGTTGAGATTTTAAGTCCCTTGGAGACCAAGCAATCTGACGCAACCTACTAGTGGATTCCCATCCTCGTCGGACTACTGGCCTGTACTTCAGCTCTGTGTGGTTTCAGCAATAGTAGTGTGTTTTCTCAAGCTTCTGGCAGACTGCAGGTGACGAAGCTTTTTTTAAAGTTGAAATGAATATTTGTACATGCCTTATTCTTGGTCACTTTATGGACACAAAACTGGGACAGATCTCCATACGAATCAATCAGTAGAACGACTCGGGGAACTCCGGCAGATTAACGTCTTGACATCAATGCAGAAGGAGCTCTGGAACTATAATCATATATTCGAGGTGACATAGATGAACACTGTGGAAAAGTATGGGCTTGCTGGCAATCTGGTAAAATCGGTGCTACTTGACGCTGTGTTAGACAACAAATGTATAGCCACTACTACAGAATGTCGAGAACCTGAATAAAGCAATGTATTACATTGTTCTCAAATAGATACGAGAGCGTAAATGGTGACGGGACCCTCCCTATATTTTTGTTGCAACCATTTGTCATGTTAAGATAAGTGCAAAGAGCAAGAATACAAGAACCAGACAATCACGAAGACTGCCTCAAGATATCATTCCCTTATTGTATCCCTGGGCATATATTCACATTTGCAAGCTGAAGACCTCGTGAACTTCTGAGTTCGGACGTTCATGAGAAGCTAACAAACATGTGGTAATGGCATCGTTTTCATCATTTATCGACCTTGATGATGGCAACCAATTTTTCGCTTGAATCTATACTAGTGATCGGCAGGGCCTCAAAATTTTGGCATCGCTGAGCCTGCAATTTTTAATGCCGGGTCATCACTTTTTGTCATGCTTTCTAGCTTATTCCTCCCTCGATTCCCTAGCACCACAAATACATGATGATATTAATTAAAAAAGACTTATAATGTATAACAATTAAATAATTTTTTTTTATTATCTATATAAGAAAGGGGTTGGCTTCGCTTATTAGAAGCATCGCAACCTTGAAATTCCTGGACAATCTACTCTTAGAAAACCCCAATATGCAGGCTGAAGGTTCTCCCCAGAGGCGCCCTGCTAAACGAAGACGCTGCTCTTCAGGCTCTCAAAGCTCCGAGAAGCCTCAAGCTGGAATCTCGGGAGCACAGCCCGTGTCTGCACCTCCGCGGATGAATCAGGTAGTAAGAGCTCCTACCACAATCGCATTTTCCTCTAACGGAAAGCTTAGGTGGCGTTGGGTCTTAACTCTCCCTTGACGAACGAAATTAAACTCCTAATGGAGAAGCGCTCAACCCTTATTCCTCAAGCCATGAGGCTGGTGGATGTTTACCAGCGCTTATGGGAAGCCTACATGAAGGAATACACAAGAGCCAAAGGCGCCGAAAAGGAATTTCGTATCCTCGTAGGTTCAAAAGGTTGGCTTGAGAAGAGCAATGAATCTCTGTACCGCATCTGTACCGACAGAGAAGCGATCTTGTGTGACAGGCGTCAAGCTTTCCAATCGGTCCGTCGAGGTATTCTTAATATCTTCCAAGATACTTATGGGTTTCACCAACTTCTACCATCATCTGGTTTCCCAGTTACACACTAGCGAGCCAAATTGAGGCAATTTACAATTTGCAGATCTCTTCAAACGCAGAGTTCTCTGCTGGCTTCAATGAACGGTCAACTTCTCTGATATTGACTACGAGAACTCTATTTTAACCTCGATTTTTAATCGCAAAATAAAATGGCAATAGCTACATTCTCCTACTAAAGTAATCTATGCAGCATTAGTTGCTTTCTTCAGTGCTCCAAGACCAAGTATCTTAAGATAACCCCGAATTTCAGAGCCATCAGAATGCAGCGTACAGTCGAACGGAACGCATTGCCGCTGATATATGTTGAACAAAAAGGGAGGCACCCCGTGTCATAGACACGGTCAATCAGCAGTATGAGGTGCAGGCAGTTCAGGTGCTCAAATAATATGACATCACGCAGCGACAGTCTGCGGTTGTGAATAAAAACAGATCTTTCTTGCGCCAGATTTAAACGATCATTTATGCTACTACTGAATGAACTACACTATATCATTTGAAGAGAAATTACGTAACGCTAGAACTGCACGTGGGATAGGACTGGGGTGAATGTTGGCTCCTTGTGCTATAATAGATAAATAGTTGGCAGCCACGACTGTACCGATCGCAAAACACAAGAGCAATGGAAGACGATCTTTATCATGGTCAGTTCGCTTGTTCTTCTTAACTTGAACTCTGAATTTACTCACTGGCTTCTACTTCAGAATACTTTCTGCCTTTTGGCAACAACTTCCCTCGAGGGGATTTTTCGGACGGCACATTGTCCCCTGCCCTTCGAACTCTTGGTCATGACACCTTGCCCGTCTCATTATGGAGAGGCCCGCTTCCAATCAACGATACCGAAAACGTACTGCCAACTGTCGATTGCTACTATTTCCCCGGCTACGAGGATCAGCCCTCTTTCTCCTGGGTGGGGCCAGATGTTTTATCAGAATCCACCAGCTGCGACGGCATTTTCTTATTCGTGTCTTACCTCTGCCCATTCTGCATGGTTCGTTATTTGGAGATCCGCTTCTCGGTCCTAGATAAGGCCACGAGAGAGGTCATTGATCAGCAACGTTTTCTTTTGCCCCGAATAGAGCCGTGGCTGGGCCATCTCGATCGAATCCGTGAGCAAATATTGAGCTTACTCAAATATTTCACCGGTAATCGTTATGGGGATCTGCACTTTCAAATAAACATCTGGCCACGAAGAGATTCTACTTGCATGGAAGCGGGGGCATGTATAAGCTCTCTCAGGCATAGTCCTGCCCTTGATCCCTTTACCTTTGTCCAAAACATTGTCGGCAATTTCCAGTAATACGTAATTTCTCATCTTACTTGAAATTTATAGACAAGAACATTGCGTGAGCCTTGATGTAAATATATCGTACCTATCACTATATGATCAGTCGACCTTTGCAGCATGGCAGAACAAGACAACGCACGCGGTTTTGGCATGCCTCCTCTGTAGATAATTGCTTTGGAATTGCAACCTCTTATGATAACGCGTATTGAGCTAACTAATGCAGCCTGTGAATTTAGGAGCCAAGATGTCAGTGACTCACCAGGGTGGTCTTGTCTTAGAAGCCTAAATTACTACTAAGTCGAAGAGCGCCCTTTCCACAAGACTCAACCCTAAACTTCTCCTAAAATCGGCTTTAGTTCTACTTAGTCTATCCATTTTGCGTTATACTCTGGGAATCACAGTAAATGTCTTGTTTGAAGATTGCACCGTAGGCGTATCTCGCTCGTCTCATGCCGACGTTCCAAATAAACTCTATTCTTGCTAAAACTTAGCTTTAGATGCTCTCATTCCTATGTGCAATTCATATTAAACGAATAGAAAGTAAACAAAATCATACAGTACTGAAGTATCAAGTGTGGCCACTCCTCAAAGGGACATGCAATGACAATCCGATTCCCCCCGAGTTGTGGTTCCACCTATTGCTATTATCACTGGGCAAATTTGATTTCGGAAACTGCACTTGCATTTGAAAGTTCAAGTTGCTTTCCAGCCACTCAGATTGGTTGCACTCATTCCGAGAAAAGATTGAACAATTTAACAGAGTCCCAATTTTGCTTCATGGTCACTGTTGTACTTATCTAATATTTGCCCAGCTCGTGCACTTCAGATAATGCTAGTTGATGGTGAATTTCGCGAGGTTTACTCCTCTCACATGATGCGGGAGCGTACCTCAAATTAGTTAAATACAGGACTAGCTCAAATTGTTACCATTTCGTTTACAGACCGTCTTCACTATCATTCAATCCAGAGCAAAGCCAAGGTAGTAGGCGTGTGATTCGCTTTCGCCAATCTCTTCGCGTGATAGGTTCATTCCATCGTCACTATGCATTGGCTGCACGGCGTCAGTCTGTGGGTTTCCGACAAGTATGCATCATTATTCATGCATCTCAGAATTTTGCTTACGAAGATGTTATTACTCATCAGTCTAGGGCGAATATCCATCGCTAGGAGACGTGAATGTAATACGACAAATTACATTCGCTCTCCAGATTTCAAGCCATCCCCTTGCCATCTTTCCAGGCCAGTGTATCAGCAAAATAGAGTGCTTTATTGCCAGCACTGTCACGGCCGCCGGTCACCTTCCTACCATCACGACAATTTGATGGATCCCATTACCAACCCCCCTATTGGCATCTGCTCGCGAAGAAGGACAAAATGTGCCGCGATGAAAGCAAAATTAGAATCTACCCATGCACCTCATCACTTTTGGATTCATGAGTTGCCGGAGAGCTGAAAAGGATAATCATGTAGCCTTGTAATTGGCCAGCGGAAATAAAGCAATATTGGACCCATCTCTTCACAAAACTTCGTTCGATATGCAATCTCGATACTTCGATGCTGCAACCACTACGGTATATGTCAAGTTTAATGGAATATAATGATAGCCGCTTGGTATATGAAGTGTTCAATGACGTATTATCGACCTGCTGAAGAAGTTGGATTTCCACATATAAATGAACATGTCCGTCCCCTCTTTGCTTCGGTCGCTAGACGTATTTAGTTCAGAAGAAGTAGCATAGCTTTGAGCGGCATGGAATAAATCTAAAATGTGCCAGTTTCGACGATATTTTGCTACAGCGAGCGCAGCCTTTCCCGTGGAGTGTTCCAGCCATGTTGCCGGCACGGTATGCGGCTAACTTTGGGACAACGTTGAAGCGGCCACCAGCTGCAGCGCAACGATGCGGTATATTTCCATCCTTATGTTTATATCGATAGCATCAGTATTGATACTACCTATTTGTTTATTTACGACCTTGTCCGGGATTGGTTCCCGGGAGCTATGCACTATTTACTACGCTTCTCGCCCAAAAAAGAAAAAAAAAAAGAAACAGTAAAAAATGGAATTGACTAAAATGCCAACGTTCCCAGGAGCCAAGATGGTTCTGTTAAATATAGTTTTGATTGATGT